CATTAGTTATGGTATCAATTAAGTAAGCAACTAAGTTCACAATGTATACAGTATACCAGGTCACTACCGAAACACCTCTTGTTTTGCCAAAATAAAGATAGGAAAAGAGACAATTTAAACATCTAACAACATAATTGATTAGATGCATAAGTAATTCCATCAATCAATACATTTCAGATTGCTACTATCAACATTGAACATTTTACAGAGAACAATAGAGATTATATTTCTCTAAATTCAGTTTAAAGGTTTTGAAAATCAAGTTAAAAATCAAGTTTTTAAATGATTCATTTTTTGTAAATTTTGAAAGCAAATAAAATGTCCCAAATTAATCTGTAATATAAGTGTCAAAATGATCAATCCTGTGAATGCTTCACCCTTTAGTGCAACGTCTTCACTATGTTTCAGTAGTGACACATTTTGTGCCTGGTAAGGTATTCAATAAAATATAAAAAATATGCAATAGATATGTCTATCTGACATAAAAGATATGTGCTGAAAGTTTGATTAAAAAATAGGACATAATATGATTTTTTTTCCAGCCCCCAATTTAAACCACTTCCGTAGAATGACCCATTATAGTGCACTACTTTTGGTAATAGGGTGCCACTTGGGGTGTAAACTTGGACTACAGAAGTAATACAACCAGTGGCGTATATTCACGGATGCCAAGGGAAGCCAGGCTTCCCCCAAACATTGACCAAGAAAAATCAAATAAAAACTTTCGTCTCTCTGTGTTTCATAATTTTCCTTCAATTCACAAGAGGCTGAATGTATCTCACAGGAGAAAGCATCCGAGCCAGCGAAACAGCGCCCCTTTGTCTCTCTACGTGTAGGCCATCTATCTGATGCTGTCTGGTCCAAACGAGTATGACATTGTTGCCGCCCATAGCATTGAATGCAAGGGAAGCCAGTGAGAATTTGGCCTCCCTTGACAAAAAAAGTATAAAAAAATTAGCCAATCAGCGTTCAGCTAAACTGAGCGAGCTCAAATGTGAATGGTCCTGGTGCACCAAAAAATAAGTGTCAAGGGAAGCCAGCTTGGATTTGGCATCTCTCCTGTCAAATCGCATTGAGAGCATACATCATTGAAAGAAACGACTTGAATTGTTGCATCTCATTGTGTTGTTGTCCTCCGGTGGCTAGCTAGCAAGCTAAAATTGGCCCTTTACTAAATTAGCCATGGATGGAGATAGGGATTTGGACTTTACTTAATTCTCCGTACTGGCCAATGATTATAACAGCGATTCTGATCCAACCATTAATTCAAACATTGTTGTGTCCCTGGCCTGAGACGAAGGAAGTTCAATATGTAGCTAGATGTAGAAGGCTAATGTTAACTAGCTAACGTTGCCCATGAATGGAAGTTAGGCTAGTGAGCAAGCATTTTAGCCAGGTAGCCTAGGACAACAAAAAATAATAGAGTGTACTGTATGACAGAGTGACAGACCGTTTCGTCAACATCAAAGAGAGGAGGGGGCATTGGCATTTCTCTACAAGTAGGGTGAGTCAACATGTTTTTCTACTTGCACGAATGCACACACATACACACACACACACACACACACACACAGAGAAATCAGAACCTTCCCCAGCGATTTTACCCACGTACCGCTACTGAATACAACAGACGCAGAGAAAACATGTTGTCAAGCAAAAACAAGTTTATTATTTATTTCTGTCTTCAAATATGTACAATCTTTGTGAGCGAGATGAGCGCTACTGACCAGTGGTCAGGAAAGTGCAGGGAGAGTAAAAGCTAGAGCAGGCAAAAGCAATCATACACAGAGCAGAGCTTCTAGTGCAAGCGTCACAGATCAGAGTTCAGAGAAAGCCTTGCTGTGTATAGTGAGCGCATGATGAGTCTGGTCAATAGCTGCATAGGCCAGATGCTGTTTAAAGAGAACACAAGTCTCGCTTTGCATGGGATGGAAGATTGGATTCAGAGCAGAACATTCTGCACTATTCGTCTACAAAAGTTCAATTCAGACTGAATTGACTGAACAGTTAGGAAAGGGCTTCAAACCATAACAAGTAAATTAGTTATATCAAATAATTGCCAACTGGTTTGCAAATGAAGCTATTGGCTGTATGCAAGTAGTAGTGACAGACATTAATTATCTTACAATCAGGCTATGGAGCCTTCGCTGGGATTGTTAGGGTCATGTGATTTCTGAACTGTGTTGATAGATATTATTGTATTATTGTACAAGATGATGTGTGTTATATTGGATTTAAATGATTGCGGCATACAACACAAAACCAAAATGAAATAAGTATTGATTGATACACACTAGGCTGGTCTTGTGATTCTGATAATCTCAGAACACTAAAGTGGAAGAACTGTGCAGTTAGAAGATATAGCCCCTTCTCTGTCATCAACACACAGCACTACATGAGTTACTGTATAACTGTATACTTATTATCCTTATAATACAGATTATGACTGATCTTACATCAATGATCATACTCCTTATTGAACATTATTACTTTTTTAACCAACAACCTCCACAGATACCGTATGAAATGCACATTTTATCCGATGGATACTACATGGGCTTTAGACGAGTCAATTTGCTTAGGTCCTGCAATAAATGACATATCATTATATATCATACTGGCCTCTAACATTCATATATGTCATACGGTACTGTGCATTAACCCTAAAATAAATATACAAAACCCATACTTGTGTCATTCCACGAATAGAGTGCCTTGTCGGTAGTGTAATAAAACAAAAAAAAAACGATTTATTTCTGTCATAAAGAGTAAATGTTAAACTACATAAAAACATGTTTTCCATCTCAGTGGTTAAATTAAGAAAAATGGCTTAAAAGGGCCAATTAAAGTAACAGTGTTGACGGTTTCATCTTAATTCAGCCATAACTCCCCTTGTGAAGAGGAGGTATGGAACAGAGAGGCGCAATTCAATGCAAGGTTAACCAAAAATGTGAACTTGTTAAAAAATGTCTAGCCTGTCTATCTAGGGGTAACGGGGTTGACGTGTTATGCTCGACTCGCTCAGTTTTCCACCACAAAACACCGGAAATGGCCAAAAAGAGTGGAACCAGCTCACCTGCTTTTACACTATGATTTGACTATTAGATGTTACATTTTTATTTTTCAAATAATGTTCTTTAAAGGAATAGTTTTACTGTATTAAAACGAGAGTTCAGTTCATGTAACAGGGCTGACCTTAACCCTGAGGGACACATTTTTATTAATCACATGAAATACATAATAATTGTCAGAAATGACTTGGTCAAAGCAACAAAATAACTAAGGCTTTACAATGATGGGTTAAAACTGTCAAACATGATGTGGGACATGCCAAAATGGGAATATTCAGAGGAAAAAACGTATTTACTTTCATGAAAACATGCTACTATTGGAATTTTAACATGGTTTAGCTTAGTAAGAGCGGACAAGTATGTGATCCAACTGTTAAACTGAGTGTTTTATAAAGATGTACACACACACATAATGTCACAAGGACATGAAAGGCACTATTCGTGGAATGACCCCTTAACGCTGAAACCACACAAGTGAATGATTCAAACCTACAATAAGGCATACTGTAGGAATGTCCATACTGAGAAACCCTTTAGTTCTACTCATACTGTACAGTATGAAATATCCACTGTTTGTGACAGCCAAGTAACACTAGCTATCACCCAGAGAATGCCCTAAAGTCTAACGCTCCGACTGCTATCCTGTGCAAGCTTTATTGTGTGTTCATGCAGGCTGTGGTTAGTGGAGCAAAATCGTGTAGCTACTGCTTTGTTGAAGCCTCTGGACAAAGAGACCAACACATAGCTTCAGTGCACTGTGTGAATCTTACAGTACTAAATTAGATAATGTACCATCTGTTATTATAATATTCACAAGACAACCAATGACATGGTCAGACTCCCAACATTCTAAATTGGCAACCTGAATATAACCAACCTGTTTTTTTCCTAAATATAACATTCATATGTGAATCACACAAATATATCGAGTACCTTTATAGTCAAAACCATATACATAATATGACCACAGTATCCTAATTTATCTCAAATGGCCTCATGCTTGTCTCCAGAATTAACTGAAACTACTGTTCAAGGCACTCTTGCAGGATATTTCTCCTGAAGATTAAGTTCAAGCTCTTCCACATTTCTTAGGACTATTTCAAGCACTAGTGTTGTAAGAGTTTCAATGAAAATGAAGTAAGTATATTACAAAAAAAACAAAAACAAAAAAAAAAAGTATATTACAACATAAATATCTGAGTTATAAAGCAGACGGTCCTGGTAACCAGGGTGACACAGAGGGTAACCAGGGAGACCAGCAGTGTGACCAGGCTGGTAACCAGGGTGACACAGCTGGTAACCAGGGTAACAAGGCTCATAACCAGGGAGACCAGGCTGGTAACCAGGTAGACAAGGCTTCACAGTGATGGCAAGATGGTGAATGGCTCTCTGCTGGGTTAGGACAGAGCCCTGCAGCACCTACTGTACATATGGATAACATATTGTACACACCCTGTCTCACACACAAACACACAGGGGTACACATACACACATATGGGTGATAAACACACAAACATGAACAGTTTATGTACAAAGACTTACAGTAGGAATGAATAATATAATATAGAAATAGATCATGTAAATACACAGAAAGCTTATATGCACAAACAAATTAATGGATTATGCAGATAGAATGAATGTATTACACACCTTATATACACTACAGCCCATTCACACAGGTGATAAAATATACATATGTCCTTTATGTACATATATATGAGGTATGTACTGTAAATAGAGGTTGATAATGTCACACACATTGATAACAACATAAATGGGCTATATATACAAATGCTTACTATATACATACATGCTGGTTAAATATATACAGTTTACATACTGTGCGTAGAATAGACCACAACTCTAACTACATATGACTTATCTTTTGGTAACATAGTTGGAAGACATGATGCTACAGGGGTTAGAGGATTAGAGGGTCCTGGTTTTAGGGTCGGGGGGCTCGTAGGGTGGAGCAGGGGCAGGGGCGGAGGTGGGGGTGCCCCAGGCTGGGGGCACGACAGGGAAAGCAAACACCCCTGAATCCAAGGAGGACAGCAGCTCAGGCCACTGGCTCACACAGAAGGGTGAGAGGGGCGAAGGTGGCAGCCCCCCCAAACAGGTCTGGGCCTGGATGGGCCACCATGTAGCCAGGATGGAACCCTGCCTGTCCCGGGGAGCTGGTCCTCATCCCTGACCCCTGGGCCTGGCTGTCAATCATCGGCCATGACAGGGAGAGCTGGGGGCCCTCAAAGCCAGGGGCTGTCCTGGCAGGTGCCTGAGGAGAAACATATAGAGGTGAGCTTTCAGTCACCACAGGCTTTCATCTTAACTATTCCAGACATGGCTACAAATAGTATTTGTTTTCTTTAAAATTCATTAAACATATGATTAAGTCTGTCTGGAGTGCCAGCTGGTGAGGTTTGCACTTTTGGGACTAGTCCATTGGTTCTATTCTGGGTGGGAAATTTACACACGCCAGCTGCCAAATGCAGGTAGATTTTGGCATTGGCGGGTAAGAATGCCTATTTCACGAGCCACATTGGCGGGTGGTCACAAAGAGCATTTGGGAACAGTTTCTTTCAATGAAAAGTCGAAATGTAGAAGTTGGTCAAATTGACCCGAAAGGCTACTAAAGTGTGACTTTGTCCTCGTATTCTTGGCTAGTTACAGTGTTTTGTTCACACGCTATTATGTTTTTCAATATTGGTTTGAGTTTTCTGGAACTGTCTGCTGCTAGCAATAAGATAGTCCGAATGGCAGAAAAATTACAACATTTACATGGAGCTAACTCTGCAAATAGCACTACTGGGTGATTTGAAAAGTCATAGTCAATTGATCAAAATATAATAATACTCTTAGCAAAAAAATGTCTCTTTAATTTACAATCTGTAGAAACTATGAGAATAGAAAGTTTCAGAACTTTTGTGAAACATCACAGCACAGCAGAAAAATATATGGCAGCTAGAAACCTAAACTGGATGGTCTTCAGAGACAGATGGGAGGGGTTGAGGGTAGCTGAAGGATGGGACTAAAAACAAACAAAAGATAAGTATTGTAAAATATACTGTCCGTAAAATGTAAATAGCAGGACTGCCCAACCTTGTTCCTGGAGAGGTACCGTCCTGTAGGATTTTTCCTCCAACCCTAATCTAGCACACCTGATTCTAATAATTAGCAGGTTGATAAGATTAATCAGGTTAGTAACACATTTACATTTACATTTACATAATTTAGCAGATGCTCTTATCCAGAGCGACTTACAAATTGGTGCATTCAACTTATTATAGCCGTGGGACAAACACTTTTTCTTTTTTTTATGGGGGGGGTGGGGGAGGGAGGGGTAGAATGATTACTTTTATACTATTAAAGGTATTCCTTAAAGAGGTAGGGTTTCAAGTGTCTCCGGAAGGTGGTCAGTGACTCTGCTGTCCTGGCGTCGTGGGGGAGCTTGTTCCACCATTGGGGTGCTAGAGCAGTGAATAGCTTTGACTGGGCTGAGCGGGACTGTGCTTCCGTAGAGGTAGGGGGGCTAGCAGGCCAGAGGTGGATGAACGTAGTGCCCTCGTTTGGGTGTAGGGTCTGATCAGAACCTGAAGGTAAGGAGGTGCCGTTCCCCTCACAGCTCCGTAGGCAAAAACCATGGTCTTGTAGTAGATGCGAGCCTCAACTGGAAGCCAGTGGAGTCTGAGGAGGAGCGGGGTGACATGAGAGAACTTGGGAAGGTTGGACACCAGATGGGCTGCAGCGTTCTGGGGTTGGAGCGAAAACATACAGGAGGGTTGCTCTCCAGGAACAGGGTTGGATAACCCTGGTATATAGTATGTATAGACTGGAAGTAGAAGCCTAAGTATTGTTGTCCATTAGTTTACTCCAATTACGGGAGGGGTGATAGGGTTAGGGGAAAATAATAAAGAAGGATTTTTTGTTTTGTATGTACATATTTAAAATAATATATTTACAAAAAATATATACAGTGGGGAAAAAAAGTATTTAGTCAGCCACCAATTGTGCAAGTTCTCCCACTTAAAAAGATGAGAGAGGCCTGTAATTTTCATCATAGGTACACGTCAAATATGACAGACAAAATGAGATTTTTTTTCTCCAGAAAATCACATTGTAGGATTTTTAATGAAATTATTTGCAAATTATGGTGGAAAATAAGTATTTGGTCAATAACAAAAGTTTCTCAATACTTTGTTATATACCCTTTGTTGGCAATGACACAGGTCAAACGTTTTCTGTAAGTCTTCACAAGGTTTTCACATACTGTTGCTGGTATTTTGGCCCATTCCTCCATGCAGATCTCCTCTAGAGCAGTGATGTTTTGGGGCTGTCGCTGGGCAACATGGACTTTCAACTCCCTCCAAAGATTTTCTATGGGGTTGAGATCTGGAGACTGGCTAGGCCACTCCAGGACCTTGAAATGCTTCTTACGAAGCCACTCCTTCGTTGCCCGGGCGGTGTGTTTGGGATCATTGTCATGCTGAAAGACCCAGCCACGTTTCATCTTCAATGCCCTTGCTGATGGAAGGAGGTTTTCACTCAAAATCTCACGATACATGGCCCCATTCATTCTTTCCTTTACACGGATCAGTCGTCCTGGTCCCTTTGCAGAAAAACAGCCCCAAAGCATGATGTTTCCACTCCCATGCTTCACAGTAGGTATGGTGTTCTTTGGATGCAACTCAGCATTCTTTGTCCTCCAAACACGACGAGTTGAGTTTTTACCAAAAAGTTATATTTTGGTTTCATCTGACCATATCACATTCTCCCAATCCTCTTCTGGATCATCCAAATGCACTCTAGCAAACTTCAGACGGGCCTGGACATGTACTGGCTTAAGCAGGGGGACACGTCTGGCACTGCAGGATTTGAGTCCCTGGCGGCGTAGTGTGTTACTGATGGTAGGCTTTGTTACTTTGGTCCCAGCTCTCTGCAGGTCATTCACTAGGTCCCCCCGTGTGGTTCTGGGATTTTTGCTCACCGTTCTTGTGATCATTTTGACCCCACGGGGTGAGATCTTGCGTGGAGCCCCAGATCGAGGGAGATTATCAGTGGTCTTGTATGTCTTCCATTTCTTAATAATTGCTCCCACAGTTGATTTCTTCAAACCAAGCTGCTTACCTATTGCAGATTCAGTCTTCCCAGGCTGGTGCAGGTCTACAATTTTGTTTCTGGTGTCCTTTGACAGCTCTTTGGTCTTGGCCATAGTGGAGTTTGGAGTGTGACTGTTTGAGGTTGTGGACAGGTGTCTTTTATACTGAGTTCAAACAGGTGCCATGAATATAGGTAACGAGTGGAGGACAGAGGAGCCTCTTAAAGAAGAAGTTACAGGTCTGTGAGAGCCAGAAATCTTGCTTGTTTGTAGGTGACCAAATACTTATTTTCCACCATAATTTGCAAATAAATTCATAAAAAATCCTACAATGTGATTTTCTGGATTTTTTTTCTCAATTTGTCTGTCATAGTTGACGTGTACCTATGATGAAAATTACAGGCCTCTCTCATCTTTTTAAGTGGGAGAACTTGCACAATTGGTGGCTGACTAAATACTTTTTTCCCCCACTGTATATGGGAGATTGGAAATTATGCAGACAATTACATTGATAGAAGCCACCATTTATCTGCAATATTAAAGCTGATCAACCCCCTTCAAAAATATGTATACAAAAAAATAGTCTGAGTCAATATTCCCACAATAACAAGGAATTGTTCTCGACCACACCCACAAATTGGGGAAAACAAACATTATTTCCAATTGACTTCCATTGTGAAAGAGCCAACTTCGTAGTCAATTTTTTGTTATACAGAAATAACAAAACATGCAGAAAAGCTGCTGTGTTGTTCAATGTACATGTAACCAGGTCAGAAATCCCGACCTACAGGTCGGTTCGCAATGCTCCTACATACAGGGAAATAGAGCCTGCAAGAAGAGCCCTGTGGCATCAGGCTATTCGGTGTGGGAGAGAGGGAAATGTTGAAAAGTAATCTTTAGACATGTTGTACTTTTCTTAAATGTAGTTTTGTAATTGACTAAAACATGCAGACAACAAGAAAATTGTTTTTGAAAAAGGTCAAGTTTCTGTTGTGAACCAATGGGGTAACCTCGGTAACCACATGTTGTTTTCCAAAAGGCGAGCAGGTCAAGGATGTTCTATCCAACTGGGACCACGGTTGCCAGGTCTAGCTAAAATATAAATTGCCCTTATTAAACTCTCCAGATCCTTTTCCATCAAAGGATGTCCATTCAACTTGTTTTGACTGCTATGATTACGCAATAAAGCCAGATGAGGTGTGGTATATGGCCAATATTCCACGGCTAAGGGCTGTTCTTAGGACATAGCACTTAGCCATGGTATGTTGGCCATATACCACAAACCCCTGAGGTGCCTTATTGCTATTATAAACTGGTTACCAACGTAATTAGAACAGTAAAAAATTGTTTTTGGTCATTCCCGTGGTACATGGCTTTCAACCAATCAGAATTCAGGGCTCAAACCACCCAGTTTATAATTGTAAATAAATCTTGTTTTCACATGTGTATAACTAGAGATAAATCTGACAGGAGAGTTTGAGTGATGAAAGTTGGACAGAGGATCTCGAAATCTCTGTGCAAGAAACTTGGATGAATGTTAGGCTATTTTCGGGCAATTGTGCCGTTATTATGTGCCAGATGTTAAGACTACAAACCGTTATAAATGCCCTATTTGCGAGATTGACTTGTTATTTCAACAGGCATAGGCTACTGACTAAAATCTGTGTTTATAATTGCAATTCAACTTTGCCATGGTTTGCTGAGCTAGATGCAGGTAGCCTATAGCTCCTGATAGGCCAACATCTCATTTCAGGGAAAAGTCCACAATGAAACTGACATTAAATGTGGAGAATGTTACATTTGTGATAGAGCTGTGACCATGATCACAATCAGGGGCGCAACTTTCACTGGGGACGTGCCTAACCCCCCCCCCCCCCCCCCCAAACACATTCTGATATTGCATTTTTGTCCTCCCCCCAGTTTTATAATTGGAATGTGATACAAAACGAGGCAACGGTGTGCTTTAGTACCATGCGGACGCCTCCGAGCGGTCGGGTAGGCTGTTTGGAGTGTTTATCCGATTGGATAAAAAAATATTTTAAAATATATTTACACTACCGTTCAAAAGTTTGGGGTCACTTAGAAATGTCCTTGTTTTCGAAAGAAAAGCATTTTTTTGTCCATTAAAATAACATCAAATTGATCAGAAATACAGTGTAGACATTGTTAATGTTGTATTCAACTAGTCTCAAGAAGGCCAGTTTAATTGCTTCTTTAATCAGCACAACAGTTTTCAGCTGTGCTAACATAATTGCAAAAGGGTTTTGTAATTATCACTTAGCCTTTTAAAATGATAAACTTTGATTAGCGAACACAACGTGCCATTGGAACACAGGACTGATGGTTGCTGATAATGGGCCTCTGTACGCCTATGTAGATATTCCATTAAAAATCAGCCGTTTCCAGCTACAATAGCCATTTACAACATTAACAATGTCTACACTGTATTTCTGATCAATTTGATGTTATTTTAATGGACAAAAAAAAAATGCTTTTCTTTCGAAAACAAGGACATTTCTAAGTGACCTCAAACTTTTGAATGGTAGTGTATATATAAATATATTATGTCCCCCCCACGTCTAAAACCAAAGTTGCGCCCCTGATCCCAATGAATAACTTTTAATTGAATTAACTAAACATGGCCATTAATAATTGCATAATAACACAAGGCTACAACAACAAACTGAGTTATAGGCTATTTATTAAATCAGTTTGCCAGCTCCAGGTAGGCTACACACGTGGGACAAATGTATTTGCAATGACTCCTTTGATTTTGTCATTTCAACATATTTATTGTATCAAATGGTAGGCTACAGTAGCCTACAATGGCATAGAAATTAATAGCTAACTTGAAGGCCAACAGAAGCAAATGTACCATATCATTCTCCACATTTAATATCATTTCATTGTGGACTTACTCCCATAACAGAAGCATGCGAGGGAGTTCCATAACTTTCTTTTCAAATTTCCACTTGCGCAGCGCTCCAGACCCTAGAACTGAGCATGAGTAAAACCCATCGCTTGATACGGTTATCAATAAGAAGAGTCGACATTAGAATTTCAGTTTACTTTAAACCACCTAGTGCACCTAAAGTCGTTTACCAATACTTTGTTGATGTTATATCAGTTCTTGCGCATTAATATGATTTATGGAAAAAGGGTGTCTCCATAATGACCAATCTAAATAGCCTACCTACAACTGGTAACCAGCTGTCACGAAGTGCGCGCGTGCTGCTCTGTTTCCGTGGCTCAGCTGCCTCTGCTCTCAACGCACACACACCCCCCCCGCCCCTCCCCACCATTCATTCACTCACACCTTCACTCACTCACTCACTCAGTAACAGCCTGCTCACTGCCTGATAGTCAGCAGCAGCAGGTAACAGTGAAATATATATATATTTTTTTAAAGAGAATGGCATGGTGGCCACGGTGCAATTTAGAAGTGGCCCCAAAACCCGCCACGAATACATTTTCACCCGCAACATAGTTTTCAAAGTAGCCCAATTTGACTACAAAACCACAAAAACGTCAACACTGACTGGGACTATGCAGAGATTCTCATCTGTGACAGACACCGAGTGCCTATTATGATGGTAACGTCCCGCCCCTTAAAGGGGCAGATAAAAATGTTTTGTCTCACTTAGGGTGCGTTCGTAAATTCACTCTAGCTATCTACTCCGATTTTTAGAGCACTCTCGCCTGAGTGTGCAAGAGTGCAGAATAACTGATTAATTTACGAACGCGCAACACCCGTTGAATATGACCGCTGTTTAGTAAACGTAGGCAAAAAAAGTTATTATATTGTTGCCAGCAGCACAGTTAGTCACCAACGCTCTAGATAACATGAAAACAGCCTAACCAGCTTTGCTAGGGTGAGTAAAATGATCAGAGTTAGGTGTTCTCTTATGTGTGTCTGGAAGTAGCTAGCAAGCTAGTCAACTTTAGCCAGTTAGCTTGGGTGCTTGACTGCGGTTGTGAGGTCAGAACGCTCGGATCAACCCTACTCCTCAGCCAGAGCTTACAGTGTGCGCTCTGAACGTTCAGAGAGCGAAACGCCATGGCCGGCCCGCTCATTAGGCAGGATTGAGCCTATGGCGGCAGATTGCAGAAGGTGGCATTTTCTGAGCTAAACTGACCAAGACGCACCTCCAACAACAACACATAACACCTCACATAATTCTCAACCAGTGGCATATGGGCTTTTTAGGTGAGCAATGATGCCTGCCCTTTGATAAGCTGTGCCCACTTTTTCAAAGGCAGGGGCGCAAAATATTTTGCTTGTCCATTCCCAGCACGCCTCTCCAGGGTGCTGTTGGAGAGACGCATCTCTGCAGCGCTCCACCAACGTTCCGTCAAAAATAATCAAACATAAATCATGTAGCAGATATAGGATATTGCCTTTTCTGTAGCCTTCAGGCTGGAAATAAAATGTATGACAATGTAATGAGACAGACACTTTAAATCATGCAGGTTTCTCCGATCAAATAGCCTTAACTGAATGGCGCTCAATAAAATAAAAACGTTATGTTAACAAACAACATACCCTAAAAAACAGGACAGGTCAAAGTAACATGGACAATATGGAATGGACAATCACAACTGTTGTCCAGGAGTGTCACCCCATTTTCATGATATGTGGTTTCAAGTTTGTACCCGTCAATTTTTGACAAGCTGATCATAGTGAAAAAGAAGATACTTCTGCATTTCCCGCTGTGTAAACACATTGCAAATAGGCTCGCGATAACTCCTGATAAAGTTGGGTAGCTGATATTCAGAGCTTAAATAGTCAAATTGATTAGTCACAGGAAACAGGACTAACAAAGCCAATGCAATGGCCTGTTTTACAAACGGTGGGCCTACCACACGGATGGGCATTCATAAAATTAAATTGGGCCTGACATAGTAGGCTACACCCCAGTAAGCACAAGCTGACGTCTTTTGGACATATTTTTTTGGTCCTGTCCGGACGTAGTTTTTTGGTGTTTTACAAATGGTAGGCTTACCACATAAATGGGCATTCATAACATTCAATTTCAAGCAACAATGTAGGCTCCACTTCAGTAAGCACGGACCGACGCCGACACCTTTTGGACGTCTTTTTTTGGTGCAGTTCCGGACCGGCCTTGATTTCCACATCCACGGACATTGCTTTCTGGTCCGGACTAAATCTGAACCAAGCATAGACGTCTATGTTTGATTCCGATTTTGTCAGGTCAGGACCAGCCTTGAATTGGCCCAAACACAGACATCTATAAATTACTTATTTTCAACTTTCATTCAGAACTGTCATGTCTACTCCCACTCCGGCGCTCGACGTCGCCGGTCTACTAACCACCGGTCCTGGCAACCCACATTGCGCACACCTGGCAACCATCATTGTTCCCACCTGCTCCCCATTGTTTAGCACACCTGGACTTCATCACCACCCTAATTACTTTCCCTTCATATAGCCCTTGAAGAGGCAGTAGTTACAGAATACTGCCTCTTCAAAAACGGAAGCAGTAGAAGATAAGGACATCTCTCAGATGGTTGACAAACAAGGACACCTAATCCGCCAACACCACGATCAACTGGCACAACTGGGTGCGGCTATGGATGAGGCCCTACCTTCTCGACACCACCCGAGAGGATTCACCTCCAACTAGCGGAGGGCCTTCTGCCACGAGTCGTCCCAGCGAGCCAATCCCCCAGCCTACCCAGCAGTCCGCCCAGGTCAGCGATGCCCATCTGTCCCTCCCGGACAAGTATGACAGGATTCTATCCAAATGCCGTGGCTTCCTACCCCAGTGCTCCCTCTATTTCTCTCATCAGACGGGAGCCCCCACCACCGAGAGGTCCAAGGTTGCCACGGTCATTTCCCTTCTGACTGGGCGGGCGTTGGAATGGGCTACGGCCGTCTGGGAGAGAGGAGAGGAAGAGCTGGGTTCCTACGAGGGTTTCATGGCTCTGTTCAGGGCGGTCTTCGACCATCTACCATGGGCAGAGAGGGAGGTGAGCGACTATTCCAACTCCAGCCAGGGTGGCCAGAAGTGAGTATTCCTTCATCATCGTTTTCCACCAAACCCTACCTGGTTTCTATTTCACTGGCTGGCTGTCCCTCAGGTGTTGTCTCTACAGCTCTAGTGGACTCTGGTGCCGCGGGGAATTTTATCGATCAAACCCTTATCTCCTCCCTGAACATCACCGTGTACCCGCTCTCCTCTCCTTTTCCAATCCAAGCCATGGATAAACAACCACTGGGATCCGGTACTATCATGCACATCACAGCACCACTCACCCTCACCGTGGGACCCATGCACCAAGAAAGCCTTCCCTTCCTCATCATCACTGCTCCTGTACACAAAGTCATCCTCGGCCTCCTGTGGCTCCAACGTCATACCCCACCATATCCTGGTCGAGGATGAAAATCACCGCCTGGGCACCCGGATGTCGGAAGACCTGCTTTCCCTTACCTTGTGGTTCCAAGTCGGTTGAGAGCCCTGTGAGTGCCCTTTAGCCCATCATTACGTCCTCGCATATCATTGGTCCTGTGTTTTGGGACGTAGATATGGACATCCGCCAGGCTCTAGAGAGGGAACCCGTGCCTACTCCCTGTCCTCCTGAGCGCATCTACGTCCCTACGGAGGATCGGCTGTTGACCTGGGCGCACACATCCCTCGCCACTGGATACCCAGGTATCACCCACACTATTTGATCCATCTCTGCAAAGTACTGGTGGGACACCTTGGCACAGGATGTCGCCCGCTTTGTCAATTCATGCTCGTTATGTGTCCAAACCAAATCTTCCCGGCACGCTCCAGCAGGGAAACTCCTCCCCCATCACGGCTGTGCCTCAGCGTCCTTGGTCCCATCTGTCCATTGATTTCGTTACGGATCTCCCTCCGTCTGATGGTTTCACCCCTGTTATGGTTGTTGTGGACATATTCCCTAAATCCTGCCGTTTAATCCCTGGTCTCCCAACCGCTCTCCAGGTCCCGGAGGCACTGTTCCAGCAGGTCTTCCGGCACTATTGCCTTCTGGAGGACATAGTCTCCGACCGTGGCCCCCAATTCACATCACGGGTATGGAGAGCCTTCATGGAGAAATTGGTGGTCACAGTCAGCCTCACATCCGGGTATCAGCCTCAGTCTAACGGGCAGGTGGAGAGGACCAACCAGGAGTTGGGGAGGTTCCTAAGGAGCCCTGCCAGGACCGGCAGGGGGAGTTGGCCCGGTTCTTTCCCTGGGCGGAATACACCCAGAACTCACTTCGTCACTCCTCCACCGGGTTGACTCCCTTCCAGTGCGTCCTGGGATTTCAGCCGGCCCTGGCTCCGTGGACTCCAAGCCAGACTGCAGTGGACGAGTGGTTCCGGCACGCAGAGGAGGTGTGGAACTCCGCCCACGTAAGGCTCCAGCGCGCCATCTACCGTCATAAGGATCAGGTGGACGACCACTGCATTGAGGCTCCCTGTGTTCATCCTGGTGATCGCGTCTGGCTCTCCACCAGGAACCTCCCGCTCCACATGCCCTGCCAGAAGCTGAGCCCCCAGTTTGTGGGGCCCTTCAAGGTCCTCCGGAGGGTCAACGAGGTGACATATAGATTACAGCTCCCCACTAACTACTGGATCTCACACTCTTTTCATGTTTCCCTCCTCAGGCCGGTGGTTCCTGGTCACCTGGACTGATGCCGTCCCCCACGACACCCCTCCGCCTCCCCTGGACATTGTGGGAAGCCCCGCCTATGCGGGGGGTACTGTCACATCTACCCCTGCTCCCCCACTCGACATTGCCAGTCTACTAACCCCCAGTCCTGGCACCCCACATTGCGCACACCTGGCAACCATCATTGCGCACACCTGCTCCCCATTGTTTACCACACCTGGACTTCATCACCACCCTGATTACTCTACCTTCATATAGCCTTCACTAAGCCTAAGTCATCAGGCTAAATTGGTTTTGGTTACATTTAGTACGCTTCTCCTGTTTTGTATTATCTTCATGATGATTATTATTATTCAACTCACCTTCTGCACCTGTTTCCTGACTCTCTGTGTATATGTTACAATAATCTAAAATTAGTCTGTTTTCAACATCTGGATAAAACATATTTTCAACGTCTGTAAAATACGTATTTTCAACATCCAGAAAATAAGTATTTTGAACTTTCATTCAGAACTGAAAATGAACCTGATTTCAACGTCTGGAAAATACGTATTTTTTTAATGTCCGGAAAAGATGCCTGTGATGGAAAATTGTATCTTGAAAATGTTAATCTTGTTTTAGTTTCATAAATAATCCTTGGTTCCTGCCTGTGCTTGGTAATGATAAACATGACCCCCTCCTTAAGACCATCTGGCAGAACGCCCAGAATATGTTTATTTAGAATGGCGCCGGAGAAGATGGCTGCCATTTTACAGCCCTCTAACCAATTGTACTATTATGTGTGTTTTTCCGCGTTATTTGTAATTTATTTTGTACATAATGTTTCTGCCATCGTCTCTTATAACCAAAAAGAGCTTCTGGATATCAGGACAGCGATTACTCACCTCGTATTGGACGAAGATTTTTTCTTCAACGAGGTGGCCGCGAAGGATATCCTACAGACACCCGACAAGGCCCAAATCCTCGTCATTCGCATGAGAAAGAGACAGAGATATCGTGGACGTAGGTCGGGGTGCCTTGTAAGGCTCCGACGGCGAGCGAGTAAACTGCCTCTCCCATAAATCCTATTAGCCAATCTTCAATCATTTGAGAATAAATTGGATGACCTAAGATTACGGTTATCCTACCAACGGGACATTAAAAACTGTAATATCTTATGTTTCACCGAGTCGTGGCTGAACGACGACATGGACAACATACAGCTAGCGGGCTATACGCTACAAATCAGCAGGATAGAATGGCTGACTCTGGTAAGACAAGGGGTGGCGGTCTGTGTATATTTGTAAACAACAGCTGGTGCACAAAATCAAATACTAAGGAAGTCTCAAGGTTTTGATCGCCTGAGGTAGAGTATGTTATGATAAGCTGTAGACCACACTATTTACCAAGAGAGTTTTCATCATTATTTTTCATAGCTGTCTATTTACCACCACAAACCAATGCTGGCATTAAGATTGCACTGAATGAGCTGTATAAGGCCATTAGCGAACAGGGAAACGCTCATCCAGAGGCAGCGCTCCTAGTGGCCGGGGACTTTAATGCAGGGAAACTTAAATCCGTTCTACCTAATTTCTACCAGCATGTTAAATGTGCAACCATAGGAAAAAAAACTCTAGACCACCTTACTCCCACACAGAGACGCATACAAAGCTCTCCCTCGCCCTCCATTTGGCAAAATCTGACCATAACTCTATCCCTCCCTGATTCCTGCTTATCAGCAAAACTAAAGCAGGAAGCAACCAGTGTACTCGGTTAATAAAAAGTGGTTCAGATGACGCAGAATGCTAAGCTACAGGACTGGTTTTGCGAGCACCGACTGGAACATGTTCCGGGATTCTTCAGATCGCATTGAGGAATACACCACTCAGTCCACTGGCTTCATCAATCAGTGCACAATGATTCGTCCCCACAGTACCGTACGTACATACCCCAACGACAGAAGCCATGGATTAACAGGAAACAATCCGCAACTCGAGCCTATCTAAAGGGTAGAGCTGCCCGCTTCAAAGAACGTGACTCTAACCCGGACGCTTAAAGAACATCCCGCTATGCCCTCCGACGAACCATCAAACAGGCAAAGAGTCAATACAGGACTAAATTGATCGTACTACAAACCGGCTCTGACGCTCGTCAGATGTGGCAGGGCTTGAAAACTATTGCAGACTACAAAGGGAAGCACAGCCGCGAGCTGCACAGTGACACAAGACTTCCAGACGAGCTAAACCACTTCTATGCTCGCTTCGAGGCAAGCAACACTGAAGCATGCATGAGAGCACCAGCTGTTCCGGATTACTATGTGATCACGCTCTCCGTAGCCGATGTGAGTAAGACTTTTAGGCAGGTCAACATTCACAAGGCCGCAGGGCCAGACGGATTACCAGGACGGGTACTCCGAGCATGTGCTGACCAACTGGCAAGTGTCTTCACTGACATTTTCAACATGTCCCTGACTGAGTCTGTAATACCAACATGTTTCAAGCAGACCACCATAGTCCCCGTGCCCAAGGACACTAAGATAACCTGCCTAATTGACCCGTAGCACTGACGTCTGTAGCCATGAAGTGCTTTGAAAGGCTGGTCATGGCTCACATCAACACCATTATCCCAGAAACCCTAGACCCACTCCAATTTGCATACCGCCCCAACAGATCCACAGATGATGCAATCTCTATTGCACTCCACACTGCCCTTTCCCACCTGGACAAGAGGAACACCTACGTGAGAATGCTATTCATTGACTACAGCTCAGCGTTTAACACCGTAGTGCCCTCAAAGCTCATCACTAAGCTACGGATCCTGGGACTAAACACCTCCCTCTGCAACTGGATCCTGGACTTCCTGACGGGCCGCCCCCAGGTGGTAAGGGTAGGTAACAACACATCTGCCACATTGATCCTCAACACGGGGGCCCCCTCAGGGGTGCGTGCTCAGTCCCCTCCTGTACTCCCTGTTCACCCATGACTACATGGCCAAGCACGACTCCAACACCATCATTAAAAGTTTGCAGACGACACAACAGTGGTAGGCCTGATCACAGACAACGATGAGACAGCCTATAGGGAGGAGGTCAGAGACCTGGCCATGTGGTGCCAGGATAACAACCTCTCCCTCAACGTGACCAAGACAAAGGAGATGATTGTGGACTACAGGAAAAAAAAGAGGTCTGAGCACGCCCCCATTCTCATCGACGGGGCTGTGGTGGAACAGGTTGAGAGCTTCAAGTTCCTTGGTGTCCACATCACCAACGAACTATCATGGTCCAAACACACCAAGACAGTCGTGAAGAGGGCACGACAAAGCCTATTCCCCCTTCAGGAGACTGAAAAGATTTGGCATGGGTCCTCAGATCCTCAAAAAAGTATACAGCTGCACCATCGAGAGCATCCTGACTGGTTGCATCACCACCTGGTATGGCAACTGCTTGGCCTCCGACCGCAAAGCACTACAGAGAGTAGTACGTACGGCCCAGTACATCACTGGGGCCAAGCTTCCTGCCATCCAGGACCTCTATACCAATATGGTGTCAGAGGAAGGCCCTCAAAATTGTCAAAGACTCCAGCCACCCTAGTCATAGAGTGTTCTCTCTGCTACCGCATGGCAAGCGGTACCGGAGTGCCATGTCTAGGTCCAAAAGACTTCTCAACAGCTTCAACAAGCCATAAGACCCCTGAACAGCTAATCATGGCTACCAGGACTATTTGCACTGCCCCCCCACCCCAACTCCCACCCCATCTTTTTACGCTGCTGCTACTCTGTTAATTATTATGCATAGTCACTTTAACTCTACCCACATGTACATATTACTTCAACTACCTCAACTAGCCGGTGCCCCCGCACATTGACTCTGCACCGGTACCCCCCTGTATATATAGCCTCCCTACTGTTATTTTATTTTACTTCTTCTCTTTTTTCTCAATACTTTTTTGTTGTTGTTTTATTTTACTTTTTTATTAAAAATAAATGCACTGTTGGTTCAGGGATGTAAGTAAGCATTTCACTGTAATGTCTGCACCTGTTGTATTTGGCTCATGTGGCCAAAAACATTTGATTTGATTTGATTTGATTTAAGTTAAGATAGGAGACGGTGCCAGACACATGCCGGAACCAACCCTATGAACTATGCCTATTTAACGTGTCTGTAACCAGTATATATGAGATCTAACGGGACTGCCCCGGGAGAGCTCCTGACAGACTTGTACTACAGTACATCAAGTTTCTTTTCACCTTTCATTCAGAACCTAAATTGAACCTAACTTCAACGTCTGGAAAATACGTCTTTTAGGGGGGGTTTTTTCAACGTCATTTTGCTTACTGGGACTATTCTAGTTTTGCGGGGTGCGGCATTTTTTTGTCACGCCTATGTCGGCAGAACGGCAAGGACCGGCCCTGTGAAACGCACTGAATTTACTAATGGACAATCTGACAAAGCTCTGAATTTATGAATTGCCAGAGCGCACTATGGCACTCCAGAGTGAATTTACGAACACACCCCTAATGACTCAAATATTTGGGGGTACATTGTGCTTGACTATCATTAAAACACCAAAATACTTTTATTGTGCTCCTATACTTATTTGTGTGCTTCTAAATTTCAATTTATGTAGTCCTGGTAAAAAATGGCAGCTTAGCCCTGGACTATAATTAAGCAATAAGGCCCAAGGGGATGTGGTATATGGGCCATATACCACAAACCCCTGAGGTGCATTATTGCTATTATAAACTGGTTACCATAAACAGTCTGATACACCACCGCTGCCAGCCAATCAGAATTCAGGGCTCGAACCACCCAGTTTATAATAATAAATAAGACGTATCACTCAGCATTGTGTGGTAGGGCAGGCACTTTGTTGATTCTTAATGCTCAGTTATAGAACTGTTTATCTGTTTTCACTATTGTATCTAATAGTAAAAACGATTGTATCTAATAGAGAGAATGGTGCCGGAGGGGATGGCTGCCGTTTTACAGGCTCCTAACCAACTGTGCTATTTTGTGTGTTTTTTCGCATTGTTTCTAACTTATTTTGTACATAATGTTGCTGCTACCATCTCTTATGACCGAAAATAGCTTCTGGATATCAGAACAGCGATTACTCACCTCGAACTGGACAAAGATTTTTTCTTTAAAGAGTGTGATGGAAATGTTTATGTTGGTGCTTTTCTATTTACCAATTTCTATGTTCTATGTTTGTACTTTTCTATAAACCAATTTCTGTGTTCATGCAAGTGACTGATTGAACGAATCCTCACTATCAGTGTCTGCAATTTGGCATTATGCCCAGAACCTTGTTTAGAGAAAGGGATATCTCAGTTTCAAGGTCTCAGCTTAGAGAGAAGAAGCCTTGTGAGGTATTGGTCACATGTATGACCCAGTATTGGTCAGAACACATGAATGAAGCAAATGTTAATGATTAATTAATGATGAATAAGCTAAATCATGCAAATATGACTTGTCAGTATATAAGGGAACTAACGGGACTGCCCCGTTAGAGGTTCTGACAGACGTTCACTATGGTGCATTAAGTTTGTTGGAACCTCTCCAGCGCTGACAATAAACAATGATTGATTTAAGATTGACTTCGAGTGTCCCTGTGTAAGAATTTCCACGACATGAGTCCGATGCGAAGGATATACTGCTTCTCTGAGACCAGGCCCAAATCCCTGTCATTCGCGTGAAGAAAATATGGAAATACAGGGGGGTGGAGATCGGGGTACCTTGTGAGAATTCGTCTGCGAGTGGGTAACCCGCCTCTACCATCCATTCTATTGGCCAACGTGCAAACACTGGAGAATAAACTGGATGATCTCCATTCGAGACTATCCTACCAACGGGACATTAAAAACTGTAATATCTTATGTTTCACCGAGTTGTGGCTGAACGACGACACGGATAATATACAGTTGGCTGGGTTTTCCGTGCATCGGCAGGACAGAACAGCTACGTCTGGTAAGACGAGGGGTGGTGGTGTGTGTCTATTTGTCTTTAACAGCTGGTGCGTGATGTCTAATATTAAGGAAGTCTCGAGGTATTGCTCGCCTGAGGTAGAGTACCTCAAGATAAGCTGTAGACCACACTATCTACGAAGAGAGTTTTCATCGATATTTTTCGTAGCCGTCTATTTACCACCACAAACCGATGCTGGCAATAAGACTGCACTCAACAAGCTGTATAAGGCCCATAAGCAAACAAGAAAATGCTCATCCAGAAGCGTCGCTCCTAGTGGCCGGGGACTTTAATGCAGGCAAACTTAAATCCGTTTTACCTCATTTCTACCAGCATGTCACATGCAACCAGAGGGAAATAAAACTCTAGACCACCTTTACTCCACACACAGAGACACATACAAAGCTCTCCCTCGCCCTCCATTTGGCAAATCCAACCATAATTCTATCCTCCTGATTCCTGCTTACAAGCAAAAACTAAAGCAGGAAGTACCAGTGAATCGCTCAATACGGAAGTGGTCAGATGATGCGGATGCTACGCTACAGGACTGTTTTGTTAGTACATACTGGAATATGTTCCGGGATTCATCCAATGGCATTGAGGAGTATACCACCTCAGTCACTTCATCAATAAGTGCATCGACAAAGTCGTCCGCACAGTGACCGTACGTACATATCCCAAACAGAAGCCATGGATTACAGGCAACATCCGCACCAAGCTAAAGGCTGGAGCTGCTGCTTTCAAGGAGCAGGACACTAATCCGGACGCTTATAAGAAATTCCGCTATGCCCTCAGACGAACCATCAAACAGGCAAAGCGTCAAAACAGGCCTAAGATTGAATCCTACTACACCGGTTCTGACGCTCGTTGGATGTGGCAGGGCTTGCAAACTATTACGGACTACAAAGGGAAACCCAGCCGCGAGCTGCCCAGTGATGCAAGCCTACCAGACGAGCCAAATGCCTTTTATGCTCGCTTCAAGGCAAGCAACACTGAAGCATGCATGAGAGCACCAGTTGTTCTGGACGACTGTGTGATCACGCTCTCCGTAGCCGATGTGAGCAAGACCTTTAAACAGGTCAACATTCACAAGGCTGCGGGGCCAGACGGATTACCAGGACGTGTACTCAGAGCATGCACGGACCAACTGGCAAGTGTCTTCACTGACATTTTTAACCTCTCCCTGACTGAGTCTGTAATACCTACATGTTTCAAGCAGACCACCATAGTCCCTGTGCCCAAGGAAGCGAAGGTAACCTGTCTAAATGACTAACGCCCAGTAGCACTCACGTCGGTAGCCATGAAGTGTTTTGAAAGGCTGGTCATGGCTCACATCAACACCTTCATCCTGGAAACCCTAGACCCACTCCAATTCGCATACCGCCCCAACAGATCCACAGATGACGCAATCTCAATCGCATTCCACACTGCCCTTTCCCACCTGGACAAAAGGAACACTTATGTGAGAATGCTGTTCATTGACTACAGCTCAGCATTCAACTCCATAGTGCCCACACAGCTCATCTCTAAGCTAAGAACCCTGGGACTAAACACCTCCCTCTGCAACTGGATCCTGGACTTCCTGACGGGCCACCCCCAGGTGGTAAGGGTGGGCAACAACACATCTGCCATGCTGATCCTAACACGGGGGCCCCTCAGGGGTGTGTGCTTAGTCCCCTCCTGTACTCCCTGTTCACCCACGACTGCGTGGCCAAGCGCGACTCCAACACCATCATTAAGTTTGCTGATGACACAATAGTGGTAGGCCTGATCACCGACAACGATGAGACAGCCTATAGGGAGGAGGTCAGAGACCTGGCAGTGTGGTGCCAGGACAACAACCTCTCCCTCAATTTGAGCAAGATAAAGGAGGTGATCGTGGACTACAGGAAAAAGAGGGCCGAACACGCCCCCATTCACATCGACGGGGCTGTAGTGGAGCAGGTAGAGAGTTTCAAGTTCCTTGGTGTCCACATCACCAACAAACTATCATGGTCCAAACACACCAAGACAGTCGTGAAGAGGGCACAACAACGCCTTTTCCCCCTCAGGAGACTGAAAAGATTTGGCATGGGTCCCCAGATCCACAAAAAAGTTATACAGCTGCACCATCGAGAGCATCCTGCCTGGTATGGTAACTGCTCGGCAGCCGACCATAAGGCACTACAGAGAGTAGTGCGTACGGCCCAGTACATCACTGGGGCCAAGCTTCCTGCCATCCAGGACCTATATACTATGCAGTGTCAGAGGAAGGCCAAGTCTAGGTCCAAAACGCTCCTTAACAGCTTCTACCCCCAAGACATAAGACTGCTGAACAATTAATCAAATGGCCACCCGGACTATTTACATTGACACCTCCCCCACTTTTGTTTTTACACTGCTGCTACTCGCTGTTTATTGTCTATGCATAGTCACTTTACCCATACCTACATGTCCAAATTACCTCGACTAACCTGTATCCCCACACATTGACTCAGTACTGGTACCCCCTGTATATAGCCTTGTTATTGTTATTTTATTGTGTCACTTTTAATTTATTTTTTACTTTAGTTTATTTAGTAAATATGTTCTTAACTCTATTTCTTGAACTGCATTGTTGGTTAAGGGCTTCTAAGTAAGCATTTCACGGTAAGGTCTACACCTGTTGTATTCGGCGCATGTGACAAAGAATATTTGATTTGATTTGATTTTGAAATTATTTATTTTAACATACTGTACATTGGATAAAATATTCTGGCCACAAACATTTAATTTAATTGAGCAATATAACACATTACTTATTACTGGTAATACATTTCTTGTTTAACAAATATTACAAAGCATGGTGATCATTTTTTTTTTGTGTGTGTGTAATTATGGCAGGAAAATATTTTGGCTGGTGAAAAATCTGAGTGGCTGGTAGATTTTTTCATCTACCTACCACAGTGGCTGGTAGACCAAAAAGTACATTTCCCACCCTGGTTCTATTGTGCCAGAAATGATCAGTGCAGTTAAATAATTTTATAATTTTAAAGAAAACAAACACTATTTGAACCCATTTAGCTACACCCCTACTAATAAATAATGCGTAGTACATAAACAGTTAAACACAGATACATACCGTATCCAACAACTACTCACATCTGGAGTGCTGGCCAGTCTGGCTATGGTTCTGGGCCCCATGGGGTCGTCGTTCCAAAGCGGCTGCCAACTGAGGCTGAGGGAACTGGGCCGCGGCCGCCAGGAGACAGCCAGGGCCTCCATGGCCCAGTCATCTACCAGCCTGTGGAGGTCGTCTGTGAAGGACCCTGCATAGGAGCCTGTGTAGGCGCCAGGGTAAGTGCCGGTGTAGGTGCCTGTCTTGTTGTTGCTGTTGTTGGCCTGGGCTTGGGCCAACCCTGCTATTGGCTGGTGGGGAGGAGGGGTGGAGCTGGCTGTCTGTTGTTGGGACGGCTGGTTGGATGCACCTGGGCCTGATCCAGTCCCTGGGAGATGGACATACTGTTTAGACCCTGCCTCAAGTTCCAACCACAGTATGTGAGCGGAGCTGGAGCAGAGCTAGGAGTGCGCAATTTGGAACGCGGAGCGAGTTTCCCAAAGGCTGGAGCGTCGGCCATCTCACCCGCTCCAATTTCTCTCCATTACCGCTCGCTTCAGGAGCTCAGGGCTTGCCCGGCCCGGCATGCATTTGTAGGCTACTTGTGTGCTGCTATAGCCCCTTGCTGTCATGGAGTTCGGTAAATATTTTTATAAAGAAACTGATAAAACACACAGGTGCAAAAACAAGGTGACTTACAAAGATGAGGAGGACCAAGAGCAAGAGAGAGAGTGTGGTGATGTAGTGTCCACAACTAAAGAATAACTTTGGAATTTGAAAAGACATGTATCCCGAAAGCATGATGGTGTACTTACCAAGTGCACATGCTAACAGAAAGGAATGAGGTGGGTAGCTAGCTAAGTGTGTCATTGTAGCAAAGTCTCTTAAAAGTCATATTATCTATACAATAGGCTATAATTGATTTTGGCCCAACAGGCCTGACATATTACAATACCTATTTCAAGGAGCTTTCTGTTTTGATAGGGTTATTTTGCCTAAAAACCTTTAGGCCTACCTATAGAAAAATACATTAAAAACTCTGCATCCCTGCCCAGCCTGGCAAGAGTGGCCTGAGGAGTGTGTAGCATCCCCAGTGGCTCTGTAAGCGTGGAGAGGGTATTCTCAGTCTACAGCACCATCGCATGACCCTGAAGCCAGACTTTGGCCAAACTCGTGTTTCTAAAAATGAATTCAATGGCACTGTAGACTGAGCCTAATAAGGCATTTTTCGCTTCATTTGCATTTAATTCTAAGTAAGTCACAGCCTATATGCACAATTTATAGACTATAATGATTTAATACAACGAAATGTAGTTTAAATGCTGAGCGCTATAATATTCCTGCCAGCCTAGTGTGTTGTACTCGCAAATGCTTCACAATGTATTTCTTTGTAGGCTATAGCCTTGAAATAATAGGCTAATAATATAGCCTAAATAATACATTTCCGTTCCTTCTTAGGCGACCTGTCTGGCTCCTGACCTATTTACAGTGTGTATATGTAGCCTATTTCAAATGATGAGCACTTCTTACAGTCACCTTTTCATGTTGTTTATTAAAATAATTTTCATTCAAATCATATGGTTTGGTTTCAATACTTCAAAACCAAATGGTAGGTCCAGGTAGTCACAGAATTGGATGGGTGTTGGTTAAATGGTGATTTTAATGAATGGAGCGGCAGCTTTTCTTCCTGTAAGGGAGGAGCGGTTTTTATCGGAGTGGTTGGAGCGGTTGGAAAGGACATGAGCGAGAGATGAGCGGGATTTCCGACTGCTCAACTCTGATCACATACTCTGGTTCCAACTAGCCCTGTTGCTGAAACATGTTATCTAAGTAAATGTAGCTAAAATGAACACTAGATGGCTCCTCTTGTTTATAAAATGCATTCTAATCTAATGAAATGTCCTTGTACTCTTACTTATGAGAGGAACTTTGAGGAAAGAAAACAGGGTACATGATTAGCTACAATAATAAATAAATGAATGAATAAATAAATACAACAAATAGTTAGGAATTCTCCAAATGGCTAATGTCTTTGCTGCAAGTTATACTTACCCCTACCACGCTCTTTACCAAGGCAGAGTCGTTTCAGAGTTGACCCTAGGAGACAAACAGAGTTAGGACTCCATGCAGCATGAAGACATAAACACACATAGAGTTCAAACATACAGTCACGTTGCTACAAAGATCTGCTCAAAAGCCAGATGCAACATCATCATATACATAACACTGTGGGAAAGCACGGTTTAGGCAACTATCTGAATACGGCTGGACAGCCTATCATGCAGTCACTCTAGAAGTGAGCCACAGAATGGTGAGAGGTCTGAGAGAGAGAGAACAAAAGAGAGAGAGAGCTCGTAACCAACAGGGCGCAACATAACAGTGGCTGTGTGTAGCCATGCAGACAGGGTCCACTAGGCAGGACTGCAAGGGCAGAGAGGCAGAGACAAACAGACAGACAGACAGACAGACAGACAGACAGACAGACAGACAGACAGACAGGAGCAGAGAGTGAGAGTGAGCTGAGCACACAGTACTGCTGCAGTGCATTACTACTATACCGTACATCCACTACTCTTCAGCCAAGCACAACAGACAGAGAGAGACAATTCACTGTAGTTCAGAGAATCAGAGGGACACAGGGGAGAGGGTGGGATGAAAAAAATATTTAAAAAACGAGCTAGAGGATGAGGACATCCGGACTTCTTATTTTTTAAATGGTCAGTACAACAAGGCCTTGACTTCAACATCCACAGACGTCGTTATTTGATCCGGCCCAGAACCAGCCTTGATTTCAGCGTCCATAGACGTTGATTTTAGTCCTGATCATACCAAATGTGAACCAATCATAGACGTACAGTACCATTCAAAAGTTTGGACACTCCTACTTTACACTGTAGAATTATAGTGAAGACATCAAAACTACGAAATAACACATATGGAATCATGTAGTAACCAAAAAAGTGTTAAACAAATCAAAATATATATATTTTTTGAAATTCTTCGAAGTAGCCACCCTTTGCCTTGATGACAGCTTTGCACACTCTTGTCATTCTCTCAACCAGCTTCATGAAGAATGCTTTTCCAACAGTCTTGAAGGAGTTTGCACATATGCTGAGCACTTGATGGCTGCTTTTCCTTCACTCTGAGGTCCAACTCACCCCAAACCATCTCAATTGGGTTGAGGTCGGGTGATTGTGGAGGCCAGGTCATCTGATGCATCACTCCATCACTCTCCTTCTTGGTCAAATAGCCCTTAAACAGCCTGGAGGTGTGTTTTGGGTCATTGTCCTGTTGAAAAACAAAGTCCCACTAAGCGCAAACCAGATGGGATGGCGTATCGCTGCAGAATGCTGTGGTAGCAATGCTGGTTAAGTGTGCCCTGAATTCTAAATAAATCACAGGCAGTGTCACCAGAAAAGCACTCCCTCACCTCCTCCTCCATGCTTCACGGTGGGAAACACACATGCGGAGATCATCCATTCACCTACTCTGTGTCTCACAAAGACACAGCGGTTGGAACCAAAAATCTCAAATTTGGACGCATCAGACCAAAGGACAGATTTCCACCAGTCTAATGTCCATTGCTCGTGTTTCTTGGCCCAAGCTCAAGTCTCTTCTTCTGATTGGTGTCCTTTAGTAGTGGTTTCTTTGCAGCAATTCGACCATGAAGGCCTGATTCACGCAGTCTCCTCTGAACAGTTGATGTTGAGATGTGTCTGTTACTTGAACTCTGTGAAGCATTTATTTGGGCTGCAATCTGAGGCTGGTAACTCCAATGAACTTATCCTCTGCAGCAGAGGTAACTCTGGGTCTTCCTTTCCTGTGGCGGTCCTCAGGAGAGACAGTTTCATCATTGCGCTTGATGGTTTTTGCGACTGCACTTGAAGAAACTTTCAAAGTTCTTGACATTTTCCAGATTGACTGACCTTCATGTCTTAAAGTAATGATGGACTGTCGTTTCTCTTTGCTTATTTTAGCTGTTCTTGCCATAATATAGACTTGGTCTTTTAACAAATAGGGCTATCTTCTGTATACCACCCCTACCTTGTCACAACACTCCTGATTGGCTCAAACGCATTAAGGAAAGAAATTCCACAAATTAACTTTTAACAAGGCACACCTGTTAATTGAAATACATTCCAGGGGACTACCTCATTCTATACTGCAATCTTCATTTTGCTCAATTTTCCTGTAATGTGATATATTGCTTTCTTCATTAACATTTACATATAAGTACAATTATGTACGGTTGAAATATGGCCATAGAAACAATAACCCAAAAAATACATATTTTCATTGCCCGGAAAAAAATGTATTTTCAATGTCCGGAAAATACGTCTTTTCAACTTTCATTCAGAACAGAAAATTAACGTAATCTCAAAGTCTGGAAAACAGTGTTTTTGTGTGTGTGTTTTTTTAAAACATATTTTCTAAGTCATTTGACTCTGGGTAAAGAGAAGGAGAGGCAAGGAGGAGAGAAGAAGAGGAAGACATGAGAAGAGGAGGAGAGGAAGGAGAGCAGTGGAGGAGGACGAGAAGCAGAGTGAGTGGTGGAGTGGTGGAGCAATGGAGGAGAGGAGGAGATACAAACAGATAGACAGAGACACAGGCCCACTGAGGAATCTAGCGCGTGGTTTGCTACTGGATTTATAGGTCACTCTCTCAGGCGGTGGAGGGTAAGCGGACCAGCCTGTGGAGAGGAGGAGAAGAGGAAAGGAGGAGAGGAGACACAGAACACCAGGGTAAGAAGAGCACACAGCTCTGACCAGAACCTGCATTAGAGATGAGTTTGAACAGCAACCTATCAGAACCATATGTTAAAGGCTGCAGATGCCTGATAAAGGTCAATGTAACTTTGTGTTCCATCATATAAAACATATTTGCTAAGGCATCCCATTGCAGCCCTTCCTCTAAACATGAGTATGTCTGTATCTGTTGCTTGTAATTTGGGTGAAATTAATGTAATAAAACAGGTAGTTAGGGTTGCAAAATTCCAATCACATTCCCCAAATTCCCAGTTTTTCCAGAACTCCCGGTTGGAAAATTCACAGAATCAGGAGGGAATAAACAGGATATCTGAAATCCTCAAACCAGCATTTCTGGAAAACCTGGTAATTTTGGGAAAGTTACCGGAATTTGGAAACTCTACTGATAGTGTCTCCTTTTGCATGTTGGGACATGTAGTTTGTGGGTCACCTTGGCTTGGTGGAGTGGGTGGAGCTGTCCCGTCTCCGTGTAGTCCAGCTCCAGCGTAGATGTTGTCTGAGGAGAGGGAGCCCTTGAGGGAGCAGGGCTGCTGGGTCTGGACGGACTCAGAGGTGGAGGTAGCCAGGTGACTGGTACCTGAACGGGCTCTGATGTCTGACTGGATTGGAGCTTTTGCTGGAGACCCATTCAGACTCACTGTAGGCTCACCTACACAGACCAATATAAATACTACACACAGAAACCTGCACAGATAGACAAAGTGCATCACAAATTGCACCCTATTCCCTATTTAGTGCAATTATTTTGACCACGGCCCATATATTACAACTTAACTGCTACTCTATTCACTTGCATGAGACCTGAGGACCTTCCCAGGCTTTAGTTGGCTGATGCAATCTTAAGTTGCGCAGACAAGCTGGGTTCAAGCCAGGTTCATTCCCAGGCGTATCTCTCAGTTCAACACCATCAGTGGAGTGACTGGTTTCGATGCCCTCATACTCACTGGTTTTGCTAGAATCACTGGTTTTGGTGGTGACGTTCCTCAGCTGTTGTACCAGAGGACTGAGGAGTTTGCCAGCCTTCAGTTTGTGCTTGTGCTTGCTCTTCCGCTTGGGGGGAGCTGTGTGGGAGAGACCTAGGGGGGGTGGAGTGGCTTTACCCAGCCTGCGGTACAACAGCTCTATCTCCACTCTCTGGTGGGCCTGCAGCTCCGAGATCTCCTTCAAATGCCTGGTGGGGAGGGGGAGGAGAGAAAGGTTTAGATAAAGGGTAAGGTGGTTCCCAAACTATGGGTCGGGACCCACTTCTGGGTCGTGGCAGGGGTCCAAAGTGGGTCGCGGGATGACATTGCCCCCAAAAATATAAATAAAATAACTGAAAGAAAAACGCTTTCAGTGTAAACATAAATGACTAGAACCAAATAGAAAGTATGTAGAAAAGATAATGGAGCTATTCTTTGAGAATTTACAATCAACAAAGTAAAAGCTAGACAATCAGTCCCTCATTGATTTTGTTATAATGTTTAAGAATAAGAACACAGCATTAGCCATGTCAAAATGCGTAGACCGTACGAAATTAGCTTAAAAAATGTTTTTATAGAATTGTGTGGAATTGCAAGAGACTAGCTTTGAAACTGCAATTTTGTTTTTATTATTCTTTGGTCTGTGTATTTTTTTTCACCGCTCAACCCCTATGGTGGGTCGCGACTCAAAAGACACTTCAATTGGTGGGTCACGAAGCAAAAAAGTTTGGGAACCACTGTTCTAGACACACACACACAACTTACTTCTCCTTGAGTCTGGTCAGCTCTCTCTTCATATCCGAGTCCTCCATCTCTGAGTCGTTATCACTACTGACATAGGCCGAGCCATGCACGCCCCCCTGCCGGCTCGGCGAATCAGAGCTCTGCACACTACTACTGCGGCCCGAACGGCGCAGGAAGGCCACCGCCCTCTTCATGAGGTCACTTCCTCTCCGCTCCCCCAAGCGGCCGTGCCGTGAAGGCGTGGCCGGGGCCAGCTTGGCGGGACTACTCTCCGCCCCCGAGTCCGATGACAGGAAGCGTGGGTGTGCGTGGACTGTAACATCAACAGACATGGAAGTGGTAATGGAGGCGCGAGGCAGCGACCCCCGTTTGGCCATGGAGGGGGGTGTATCCAGGTAGAAATCGGGCGGGGCGGAGTAGCGGCTGCCGCGGGTCCTCAGGGTGACGTCGTCCTCGATGCTGACCACGGAGAAGCGTCCGATGGTGGTGGAGGGGGCCATGGCCATTGCCTGGGCACTGCTGCGGTGGTCTGATAAGTGGCCAGCAGGGTGTGCCGGGGAGGCAGCGCTGCTCCAACTCCTCTGCTTCAGCTCTCCTCCTGTCACCATGTCAGGAGGGCTTATGATAATCTAAAGACATGGATGACAACAGCAATGACAAAGTTATTGTTTAAAGAGCCACTTACAAGTTAATACCTTTGCAGGTAATTATAATATCGGTCTAAAATACCACAATGGCCGTTTACTCTACAAAACAAACTTTATAAGACGCTTTAAGAAATAAGTTATATTTGAAAACGTCCAATAGTCGGGCATTGTATGTAGGCGTGACTAAGAGGTATTGCACCTCTAGAGGTAGTAGTGGATAATGACTATTGGGAACAAATATGTGACTTGTTTCAGGAAACTAGGCGTATGTCACCCTTCACTACTTCACAGGAGCGGCATTTAAACGTAAACTGCGTTTTTTGGCAGAAAAGGCTTCTGGAACATGTGAACTTTCATGAGTCTCAATACCAAACTTGTATTCCATCCATGAATACGAATAAAATTGTTAAATTAGGAGCCTAGTTGGTTTAGTCACGGAAAAGACAGCAACCTTCCCGCTAGCCATGATTGGCTGAGATAATGGATGGGCTGGACATGCCGGGAGATGAGTTTGGATTGGTCTGCCATGTAGCATGCTTCTGTTTATAATGGGAGCTGCTCAGTATGTGTTGACAGTCCTTTCTACCGCGCTGTTTTTGAAAGATATAATGTTAGCCATCGAACTACAAAAGTGTTGCTACTTTTCTCAACAACATTGATGCCCTGAATTTAGCAGGCGCTATCGACAGATCAGTTGGAAAAAGTGATGGGCTACTTTCTGCACACGCCACGGTCAGTGTGAACCGGAGTGACTTGACACAATGCTGGCCAAACAAGATGTAGGTCCAAACAAAACTGAGTTAAATGGTTCCAGTCTACCGTGAAGAGTTCATCCATGTATATGGGTAAGACTCTAGCTACATTTTCAGATATAAATTCCTAATTTTGTCAGAAAGTTAAAAAGCGTACTGTTAGTTAGCTAGCAAACATTAGCTTGCTGGCTCGCTAGCTAATGTTACGTGTATGATATGTGTATTAATATAATTCGAATCAGAAATCCATTTGCATAGCTAACATTGAACCTAGTTTGTTAGCTTTAGCTACCTGTAGATTCATACTACAGCTATGACAATGTTTGTATTGGTAGTAGTATGAGTTGGGATTATGCCGGTTCATTGTTTAGCTAGCTACCTGTCTAAACAAAATACTCACCTTCGGCCGGATTATTACATGACCCATCAAATTAGCCAGGTGTGTCTGGGGTTGATTACAGCCATCTATTGTATTTCATGAACAGATGTACATGTCTAGACAATGGTGACCAATCCACTTAGCTAGATGTGGCTGGGGTGTGGTTATAGCATTTCCTTCACATGACCCATCAATTTAGACAAGTGTGTCGGGTAAGCGTCATCTAATAATGATAAAATATGTATAAAATATTTTTATCTGGACACTTTCTGTTTTTGATATTGCTACTATGCAAGTAACCACTTCACTGTACCGTTTACACCTTCTGTATCCTGTGCATGTGACAAATAAACTTTTATTTGATACAGCGTGTGTTTACCACATGGCCTCACATGTGAATCCTTAAAGAGATGAGTGGGGCTAAGGCTTAAGAGGGTGTGAACGATGCTGAATCGGTGTAGACAAAGAAGAGCTCTCCAGTAGGTCTACCAAAACATTCAAGGGCCATTTTCTCAAAAGTGGGGTTACAAGTTTATCAACTTTCAAAGCAGAATTACTTTCCCATTGTTCCTCAACTGCAGTGTATGATATACAATTTATACAGTCTCTACTTTTATCCAATGTAAAAAACACAATTTCAAATGTTGCTACATAAGACCGAATCGAGGCGGTCTGTCACATATGTAATACAGTAAAGTACCTTAGACCGGCCACTGGAGCCCGAGCCAGAGCAGGAGGTAGAGTGGAGTATGTTCTTTCTCCTAGACATGGGGACTGCAGACAGAGAGAATGAGAGAGATTGTCTAGGTTCTCTTTATAACTACAATATATTGTGATTTTGCACTTTCACACCAGACAGCTGTTAGAGGGATCACTATAATATTGTAGCCTACATACAACACAGTAGTGTACATACCACCCACGGCAGAATCACTCAAGGCGCTTAAACTGTCCATCCTCTCTGGAATCTGAGGCTGAAAGAAAGAGTGGTGAGGGAGGGTTGAGAAAAGAGAGAAGGTAAAAGATTGAAGCAGAGAAAGAGAGGGTATGGAGTGGGGGTTGACAGGGAGAGAATATAGTGCAGTCGTTTTAAAGGGAGAATGGCCAACATGTAAGGATGAATGGTATCGATAGATTGCATTTACTTTACATGTAGTCTGGGGTGTGGGTAAAGAAAAAATATATAATCTCAGAACGGAAAGTATGTTTGAGTCCCAAATGGAGCCCATAGGGCTCTGGTCAAAAGTACTGCACTATTTAGAAAATATGGTGTCATTTGGAATGTTTTCTATGAGTTCTATGGATGACATGTTCTGTGTTTACCAGCTGTTCCCCTGTCCGGTAGCGCCCTTCCCCCATGGGTCCAGGGGTGCTGTTTCCTGACCCCAGGGTGGCACTGTCGGGCCCAGGAGGGGACTGGACGTACTCTGTCCCTGAGCCAGGTGTCTCCGCAGCAGTGCCTGATGGGTACATGGGGGCGTACTCCTGGTACAGCAGGTTCCTCAGCTTCTCGTCCAGAGTCTTGATGGTGCTGTCCACAAAGCCCCCCCGACCCCCCACCCCTCGACCCTCCCCGTCCGACTCACTGGGCCCCCCTGCCGTGTGCTGGTGGGGGGCGGGGCTCTGGGGCAACGAGGGGACCTTGGCTCCGCCCACTGAGGAGAAAGGCTGCTGGAGCACCACGGGCTGCTGGGGGCGGTCGCTGCGGGAAATGGAGGGGTAGGAGAGTTGTAGGGACTCTCTGGCTGAGGAAGTAGAGGGGTCCTGGGGGGGCAGAGGGGTGAGAGGAGTTGAGCCCCCTTGGGCATCACAACTCACATTCAGGGACAGGGGCATGACCAGCGGGCAACAGGGCACCTCCTCCACCATGGAGGCAGCGCACGCCATCTCTGCCATCTGCTGGGCGGCGTGGATGGGGGAGATGGCACCCAGACGCCCTCCTCCCTGGTGCTCCTCTCCGGACAGGGAGCTGCGGAGACCTCCAAAGGGGGCCGCTGGAGGAGCCGAGGCTGGCTGGGTGTGATGCACCCTGGGCAGGGTAGAGCTGTGGGCCTGGCCCTCTGGAGGAGGTCCTGGGTGGACAGATGGGGGGCCAGAGGGGGCTGGAACATGGGACATGGCCAGGAGGAGAGGGTCTGTGGAGGACAGGATGGGAGGGCTACAGAGGCCATAGCCTCCACTCCCCCCAGACACTGAGTTAGCTATGGAGGATGACGCTGATACTGCAGGAGAAAACCAAAAGAAGACCGAAGATTATAGACAGAAAGGCAATAGGACTAGTATCCTCTTAACCTACCATTCTACAATAGGACCACATCCAAAGACATACACATATTTCAACATAACAACTCAATATTGTATTTGTAGCATTCTGACACTGTGTTGCACTGTGTTGCAATAGTGCTTTGACAAAGGAGCTTTGTATTTGTACACACGGCTGACTACTGATGTTGACAGGACGTTGTTCATTCATTGAGCACTAGAGGGCAGCATGGTAGCATGGCTCGACCAGGATCGTGTCATGTTGAAATGGTCACATGGAAACAAAGTCACCTCTGCCTGAAGGAGTCCCTGCAGTGCCACCCTCAGCAGTCTGGCCAGGCACCGTAATCCCATCAGGCTGTGCAATTGTAGTCCCGTCAGGCTGAGTAGTTGTAGTCCCATCAGCAGTCATGTTTGTAGTTCCATCCTGGCTGGAGGTGGGAGGTTCCTCCACTGGGCAGATGATGAACCATCTCTTCCCTGTGTGGAGCACTGAGAGAAAGAGAGGGAGAGAAAGTACAGTCAAACAGATATGGCAATCAAAACATCACAAACTTACTCAGCCCACCCACACAGCTCTTAGTACAATCTCCTTTAAAAACCTTCCTCCACAGACATCCCACTCACTATGGGGCCGATTCAGACTCTATGCCTTTTTTACGCGTTTTGATTTAAGCACTTCTCAGTAGTTGGTATTCAGACTTACCTTTTGCAGGTGAGTCATTCCACCCCAAAAAGCACAAGAAAGAGGATTTTGACACCCACCATCTCAGATTGTTCTGAAATCGTTTCTGTAGTTAGAGACGGATAAGATTAACATTCCTAAAACATTATTTTATTGAAATATAATTTGATATCTGCGAAATTAAGCTAATATGATTTTGAGTTGGGTTTAATGGTAAATGTCACTAATCACACTACATATAGAGATGTTTTCTAATAATTGTATTGAAAAACATACACCTGCCATGCAATGGTTTATAATTGTATTCTTGTCACAACATTTTAGACACTAGCCCATTTCTCCATCAAAGTTTTGGCCTTTTTATGAGAATTGCACCAGAGAGCTCAGAGAGCTGCCATTTGTAGGATTATTCAAGGAGAGTTGGGTTGAAGCATTAGGTTGCTAAGGACAAACTTAATTGCTTTCATGGAGGAATGGCTTGACCACATAATTGACCGCACAATTTATTTGGCGTGGGGTGTGGGGATCCATGGGTGGTTATAGAATATTATGTAAATCCTCTAAATTAAAAAGGGCCAATTTGTGTGCAATCAATTAGCTTAATTTAACAAAAATCGAATAAAATGTAAACAAAGTAATGCTACAGGAATGCTATTTCTAATTACAACAATTTCAGGGTGGTGGGTGTCGTGGCTTGCTTAAATGACATGGAATGACCAAGGTGCATAACAGGTTATGCAGGAGTGGCTCCCTTGCGCGCACTGAATACATTTAATTAAACCGCTGAAAACCGTCCTACCTGCTGGCCAACCGATTTTCTCATGGAGTTTTCATTCAATAGGCTTTTCAGGACATTTATCTAAAGCCATCCCTTTAAAGAGATTCTCCGGTACTTTTGTATATTTTTTAGTTCTGAAAGTAGTGCTCATAAGCCAAAAGTGGTCCCCGAAAATTGGGTACTACCTCACATACTATATGTGCACCACATCATTGCTCTCTCTCTCTCTCTCTCTCTCTCTCTTTCTCTCTCACTCTGCTATGTGTGCATCTTGCTAGCTGTCACTCAAATGGTGAGGGGCTGAAGTTCATTGGCTGAAACACGAATTGCTAGGAGGGCTGGCCCAAACAAGGGATTTCGTAGCTAATTGAGGTAAAACAGTAACTCTGCTCATAGATTATGCATGTAGAACAACACATTGACACATCCAGCCCAAAGTGGAGGTTTAAAAAATACTTACTAGTCTCCCAAGTTCCAGACCATGTCTTTAAAACAAAGCTAAATGTAACAACATTTAATTGAAAATGTAATCTAAGTAATCCCCAAAAGTTATTATTTATCATGAGAGGGCCATAAACAATAACTAGTAATGCTGCATACTCCAAGAAAGGTTAAAATCTCACCTTTCTTGTAAAAAAAAGTTTAAAATTGCTGATGTGTTATCACTTTGAAGACAAGAGCTCAAGTACACAGTACAAATATAAAACAAATATTAAAATAATATATATGATGTATTTCCTATTCAACAAAACTGTATGAATAAGGCTTGAAATTACTTATATGCTTTCTAAATATAGTGCAATCAAATTATAAAATGGCTAACTACACGATTTCACCTTCCTTATAACTGTAAAATACATATTTGTATGTTTAGTGTTAGAGAAAATGTGTATATTTTCTAAAGGTCTCGCTTCATCAAAACGTCTGCCACAATCGCTGTGAACGTCTCACATAGCTCTAGCTTGGCTTCCTGAACTCGTTAGGAACTGGCTTTCATTCCACATTAATATTGTCCGTCTACGACAAACATAACATTTCTTTTATGTTTTATCTATGAATTAAGTATGAAAAATGTATGCACTCACTAACTGTATGTCGCTCTGGATAGGAGCGTCTGCTAAATTATTAAAATGCAAATGTAAAAATTATTTTTGAGTATTGGCTATAAATCGATCTCTGAATTTGCTACAGTGACGAAACCACTCTCTTCTGCTGTGCTACGATGTAAGGATTCCTGGAATACTGTATGTTAGTGGCTGTGAATTAGGGTTCAGCCAGGAGTTGATGGACAGTCGGAAGAGCGAATGAAATGGTAGAAGGGACATCCCAGCTTCAAGTGGTGTCAGATTTCACATCCTGCTTCACACAGGCAAAAGAGACATACCAAAGATATTTATAACTAAACCAAGATAGACTACAGCCTGTCATTTCCAATGGGAACAAATGCGTCATAGTGGGCCGAACAAGCAAGGAGGTGGGCAGAGCCAAGCACGAGCTAGCGAGATCCTATTTGCCTGTTCTAGCATACATCTGCATATTTCTGTTAGGGAACGCCTACTCTGTGAGGTAGGGAGGTTGAGCAATAACTCAATTCGCCTTCGCACTCCTTCTAAACAATGCGATTTTTTACAACGTTGGCAAAGAGTAAAGTCTACAAAACTTAGTCCACTCTGTTCAAAACAGATTCTAGTTTTGGGAACTGAAAACTGTACTGAGATCAAATGTTTCATCGATGAGAAAATTAGCAGAATGTCAGCCAACATCCCTCTCCTTCCATCTTCTCCAACTGCTGGCCATTGGGCTTCCTCTCACTACCATATTTGGTAGTGAGTGGAAACGCCAAGTGGATGCTTCACATTTATATAATATCTGGTGAAATATCTGTCTCATTGTTCTATCTGTGGAAATTCTCCTGTGTCCGTGAGAATCAGGGCTACCGCTCAATGCAAGCCATTTCGGTGGTCTAAATCGATCTATGGTGTCCACAGATCGATTTATATAAGCAAAAATGTCGGTCGGAACCGGTACCAGAACCACGCAGGTCCACAAAACAGGGGTCTTTACATCAAAAAAGTTTTAAATACGTTGTACCTTTAACTTGAATTTTCTCAACAGACTTACAAGAATATAGGCTATCGAGAGAAAAAGGGTTCCGAATATTAACGAAAAATGAAAGAAAGCCATCAAAATACATTTATATTCGGCTCCTTTTTAGCACCAATAGATTTAAAAACACTCTGATCTTGTAGATTATTTAGGGTTAGGAAAGTATTTATGAATCATTGAAAAAAACGCACAAAATATATCGGTAAATCAAAAACACAGTGGTTTGATTCATCCTGAAAATTCTCATATTCAATTGTTCGATCCATGAAAATATCAGAAGGTGCGAAAAGGGTACAACAGTGGTTGGACAATACCATAATCTTTACATTTTAGTCATTTAGCAGACGCTCTTATCCAGAGCGACTTACATTTTCATACTTTATTGATCTTAGAACTGTAGGCTGATGACAACAGTCCAGTCGTGAACCGTGTCCCAGGCTCCAGGTTCAAAATGCCAAGTTCCATTATAATATACTGTATGTTCCAAAATTATTGCACAATTTGTAACAAGTTGAATAGTATCCACTATAGAATAGATACAGGATAGATGAGAGGGAGAGAGAGAGAGAGAGAGAGAGAGAGAGAGAGAGAGAGAGAGAGAGAGAGAGAGAGAGAGAGAGAGAGAGAGAGAGAGAGAAAAAGAGAGAGCAAAAGTGGGGCATTACCATTCTGCTGATAAACAGGATGTTGTGCTCCGGGCTGCTGAATCTTCAGAGAGATAGAGAGGAAGACAGAAAACAGACATGTGAGAGATGTATTACACCTGTGTATGTGCGTGTGGCTTCTGAATAAACATCCATGTGAGTATATTCGTGTCTGTGTGTGAGTGACTTGTGTTTGGGATGCCCCCCCCCCCCCCTCACCTCTCCCCCCAGCCCCCCAGAGTTGTGTCCCAGTTGGGGACTGCCCCCCAGGGCGGAGGCCGTCTCTCCCTCCATGTCCTCACTCAGCATGTCCTCAGCCTTGTCCACGATGTCCTTCAGCTGGTCAATGAACATCTCCTTCTCTATGGGCAGGATAAAGCCATTCTCCGCCTACATACACACATACATAGACAAACACACACACACACACACACACATACACAATGTAACTACAAGCAATATAATAATGTCAAAACAAGAATACTGAAGAAGTGATAGCACTTCAGGAACAATCATAATGTAAGTATACCATTTCAATAAAGGAAAGGTACAATTACAAGGGGATAGATACTGAACTGGATGACCAACCAGAATATTCATTCATAAGATTGTCTGCTGTAGCGCATTTGAGCTTGGTGGCCCTATTTAAATATTAAAATATCTATTTGGAGCTCTCAAAATAGCTTTTCCCAGGACATCCCAGACAGACCTGTCTAGACCTTGGGTCAAATACTATTTGAAATCTTTCAAATATTTTGAGCGTTTGCTCTAGCCTGCCCGGAGTGCCAGATGGGCAGGCTTTGCAGTTTTGTGACTATTCTAATTAATCCATTAAGCCAGGAAAGCTCAATAGACAAGGAAATTCAAGCACAGTAGTCCAACAAAGGTTGAATGACTACTGTCAATAGGTATTCTCTCCTCCGGAGGAGGAAGGGGGGGAGGGGAGAGAGGGGGAAAAACGAGAAGAGAGAGAGAGAGAGAGAGAGAGAGAGAGAAAAAGAAAAAAAAAAAAAAAGGGGGGGGGGGGCCCCCGGGAAAAGGGGGGGGGGAAAAAGGGGAGGGGAGAAGAAAAAAAGGGAGAGGGGGGGGGGGGGGGGGGGGGGGGGGGGGGGGGGGGGGGGGGGGGGGGGGGGGGGGGAAAAAAAAAAAAAAAAAAAAAAAAAAAAAAAAAAAAAAAAAAAAAAAAAAAAAAAAAAAAAAAAAAAAAAGAAAAGGAAAAAAGGAAAAAAGAAGAAAAAAAGGGAAAAGGCAAAAAAAGGGGCAAATTTAACCAAAAAAATTTTTTATAAGTTTGTTGTGCCCGGCTTGGGGGGAATTTAAAAAAATAAGGAGCCCAAAAAACCCCCGGGGACATAGAAGAAACCCTGTTTGGCCCTTGGGTCAAATATATTTGAAATTCTTTCTTTTGAGCGTTTGTCTACCTCCCCGGGGCCCCAGATGGGGGTTTGTTTTTGGGACCTAATTAACCCAAAACCAGGGGGCCAATCAAGCCGGGTTTAAAAGGTTTGTGATTTTCAAGAAAATTTTTTCCTCTTAGAAAAGGAAAAGAAATCTCCCGGGCATACCCCCCTTTTAAATGGAAAACCCCCACAAAACCCACCAAGGAATTTAAGGCAAAATTTTGTGATTATGAGAGTGCATTCAAACCATCATGGTGTTCCACCTAGGGGGAAAAAAAAAACTTGAATGAAAAGTATAATATGGTTTTGGGGAATTAGCTTTGTTTTTAATATAATTTAAATTTTGTTTCAAAAGTTCCCGGACAAGAAAGCTTCAAACGGTAAAACTTTTGGTTTAAAATTTTGGAGTTGTCTGGGAGGGCGATCCATGGGAGTTCGGGTTCTTTTTGGTCTTTTCGGGGGCTTGGGGCCGTTGGGGTGGGGTTTCGGGTTTCCCGTCCCTTTTTCCCGAGGGCCGGCATGACCCAGAACGGGAAGACCCCCCAAAGTAAAAAGGGAAGGAAAAGGGGTGTGGTTTTAAAAAGGGGAGGGGGGAAAAAGGAAAAAAAGAAGGAGGGGAAAAATTTTTTATCGGGTTTAAAAATTTTTTTTAAAGCCCGGGAAAAAAAGGAAGGAAAGGGAAAAAGGAGAAAAGAGAGGAGGGAGGAAGAGGACAGACAAGGGAGAGGGGGTTTTAGGGGGAGGGGTGGGGAGAGGGGGGGGAGGGGCCGGAGGGAAAGAGGGAGAAAGAAGGGGGGAAAGAGACGAAGGGGAGGGAAAAAAGGAGGGAAGGGAAAAGAGAGACCCAAAAAGAGGTGGTAAAGGGGCCCCAAGGGAGAAAAAGGGAGAGCGGGAGAAGGGGAAGAGAAGGAAAGGGAGGGGGAGAAGAAGGAGAGGAGAGAAGAGAGAAAAAAGAGGCGAGGGAGGGAAAAAAAGGGGGGGCGGGGAAAAAAGGGAGAAAGGGAAAAAAAGGAAGAAAGACGGAAAAAGGCCCGCGAGGAGAGAGAAGGGGAGGGACCCCCAAGAAAGAAAAAAAAAAAAAAGAAAAAGGGAGAGGAGAAAAGAGAAAGGAAGGAGGAGAAAAGGAAAGGGAGGAAAAGAAGGAGGGGCGCAAGAGCAAAGGGCAAGAGGAGCGGGAGGCGGAAAAAAAGAGAGAGAGGGAGGGCCGCGAGGGGAGAGCGGGGAGGGGGAAAGCGGCCCCCCAAAGGCGCGAGAGAGCCCAGCGCGCGCGCGAGAGGGGGGAAAAGCGGCCGGCCCAGGGGAGGCCCCCCGACCCCAAAGAAGGGAAGCGAAAAGCAGAGGCAAGAAAAGGGGAAAGGGGAGAGGGGGAAAGGGGGAACGCAAAAGGGGGAAGGGGGGCCCGGGGAGGGGTGGGGGGGAGAAGGGGCCCCCGGGGGAAAAAGAGGAGTCGGGGACGGGAAGGGGGGGCCCCTTGTCTTTTTTTTGAACTATCCCTTTTTGGGGGTTTCCCCCGGTCAATTATTTTTTTACTTTTCAAGGTCGGGGCAAAATTTTTGAAAAACCCCTACGCCCCTGTACGAATGTCCCCACTATAGCCATTGTTGGGGAAGAACATTTCAACTACACTAGTCAAGGTCAGAAGGTATGGCCACACACCTGTCATAGCCTGCAAAACTGTGAAACACCATGGGTTTCTCTTGTAGTGGCTCCTGAGGGCAAAACAATGGGGTTGTTGGATTCACAGAACATGTTATAGGGATTAGATTATGGTTGCGTCCCAAATGCCACCCTACTCCTTCCCTATATAGTGCACTATTTTTGACCAGCGCCTATGTGGGGAATAGAGTGCCATTTGGGACGCAGCCTACATTTACAATATGGGCAGTGCATAGCCAACACACAAGACAAGAGTGCACTGATACATGTATGAGTGCTGAAAACAGTATGTGCTGTGCAGTGTGTTGTAGTAGAGTATGAGTGGTATCTGTATACTCTTAGAAGTCAAGGTGCCTGGAAGAACCTTTTGGGTTGCCACACTGGCAGAACCTTTCCAGTTGAAAAAGGTTATTCGAGGAACCCCTGTGTTTTGTGATGGGAGGGGTTCAATTTTGAACCTTTTTAATAATATATTGCAGCCTATCAGAATGGAGGCGTGGCTTATTGGAGGTGTGACTTTCAGATAATAATTTTTGGTCACTTGTTAGCGTAGTCATTCCTGTTTATCATGTTGAGTTTGTACACTGCAAATTAAAATGTTCCTTGAATATTTATGCGCATTATGTTCTAATATAATATTAATCATATTAACATTGCTGATTATATTTACTCTAACGGGTAGGAGGAAGTCCAGGGGTTCCTTGAGGATCTCCAGGGTTCCTCGAGTCACCACTAATTGTAAGAGTGTACTGTACTGTTATTTTATTTTACTGCTGCTCTTTAGTTATTTGCTTTTATTTCTTTACTTAACACTTTTTTTTAATGCATTGTTGGTTAAGGGCTTGTAAGTAAGCATTTCACTGTAATGTCTACACCTGTTGTATTCGGCGTATGTGGTAAATAAAATTTGATTTGATTTGATTTACTGTAGAAACTGTAGGTACAACTGTGTGGTGCATAGCTACCTCTTGGCTGGCCTCAGGTTGGTAAGAGGTGGACATAGATGCAGTGTCCAGGTTATGCTGAGTCGTGGACAGGCTGACACCATCAGGCACTGGGGCTACTGTCTGGATGCCAGCGGGCTTCAGGGCTGCAGCTGGAGCCGGAGCCAGGCGTGGGGCCCGGGCTGGGCTCTCAGGGAGGGTCTGGTCAGACCCGGCTGCAGCAGCAGATTCGGGGTCCACCACCTCGGCCCTCCAGGGTGGGGACAGGGTGGAAGGCTGGACGGGGTGGAACGGAGCGGGGGCCGACACCTGAGCCTCTCCATGGGGGTCCTGAGGGGCACCAGACTGGCCCTGGAAGGAGGAATGACTCGGGTACTACAGAACCTTCTTTGCCACTGCTGCTAAAGACACTGTACAACCTACTTGTTCATCCAAATGTATGTTATGTGCTGTGCTACTGTCCTTATCCAAACAGTTACTGTACATATTCCAACATAAAGTCAAAATGTAAAGCCAAACCCCTTACCTTTTTCCAAATTTTGTTCCTTGTTCTAAAATGGATTAAATAAAAACAAATCCTCATCAATCTACACACAATACCCCACAATGAATAAGCGAAAACAGGTTTTTAGAATTTTTGCAAATGTATTAAAAATAAAAAACAGAAATACCTTATTTACGTAAGTAATCAGACCCTTTGCTATGAGACTCGAAATTGAGCTCTGGTGCATCCTGTTTCCATTGATCATCCTTGAGATGTTTCTACAACTTGATTGGAGTCGGGGAAGAAGGGTCTTGGTCAGGGAGGTGACCAAGAACACGATTGTCACTCTGACAGAGCTCCAGAGTTCCTCTGTGGAGATGGGAGAACATTCCAGAAGGACAACCATCTCTGCAGCACTCCACCAATCAGGCCTTTAAGGTAGAGTGGCCAGGCGGAAGCCACTCCTCAGTAAAAGGCACATGACAGCCCGCTTGGAGTTTGCCAAAAGGCACCTAAAGACTCTCAGACCATGATAAACAAGATTCTCTGGTCTGATGAAACCAAGATTCAACTCTTTGGCCTGAATGCCAAGCGACAAGTCTGGAGGAAACCTGGCACCAAGCCTACGGTAAGGCATGGTGTTGGTAGCATCATGCTGTGGGGATGTATTTCAGCGGCAGGGACTGGGAGACTAGTCAGGATCGAGGGAAAGATGAACGGAGCAAAGTACAGAGAGATCCTTGATGAAAACCTGCTCCAGAGCGCTCAGGACCTCAGACTGGGGCGAAGGTTCACCTTCCAACAGGACAAAGACTCTAAGCACACAGCCAAGACAATGCAGGAGTGGCTTCGGGACAAGTCTCTGAATGTCCTTGAGTGGCTCAGCCAGAGCCTGGACTTGAACCCGATCGACCTTCTCTGGAGAGACCTGAAAATAGTTGTGCAGCGACGCTCCCCATCCAACCTGACAGAGCTTGAGAGGATCTGCAGAGAAGAATGGGAGAAACTCCCCAAATACAGGTGTGCCAAGCTTGTAGAGTCATACCAAAGAAGATTCAAGGCTGTAAACACTGCCAAAGGTGCTTCAACAAAGTACTGAGTAAAGGGTCTGAATACTTATGTATATGTGATATCATCATCAATATATATATATATATTTTCCATTATGGGGTATTGTGTGTAGATTGATGAGGAAGAAAACCGATTTAATCAATTTTAGAATAAAGCTGTAACATAACAAAATGTGGAAAAGTGAAGTGGTCTGAATACTTTCCGAATGCACTGTATGTAATGTATTAGGGAGGTTTGTCGTGTTTCAGGCATCACATGAGCTAGTGTTAAACTTTCCCAAAATTCCCAAAAATCCTGTTCGGAGGGTTCCGAATTTCCTGCTCCTTCTCGCCTACTTCCGTGAATCTTCCAACTGGGATTTTTGGAAAACTAGGTAATTTGGGGAAATATTCACCTGGAGAGGTTGCTCTGCCACATGTTTCTCAGGGAGGGGGGCAGGGAGCGGGGGGGGGGGGGGGGGGCAGTGTAGACCTGCTGCTGCTGGGGCAGCTGTTGGGGCATCATATGGGGAATCAGGGGGACGGGTACTGCCATTCCTGGCATCTGCTGGGGTGGTTGGAGCTGGGACATTGGGTCTGGAGGGTGCCAAGGGTGGTCAAGGAGGGCACAGCCTAAATAAAAAATGGGGGTGAGGTGCAAGGGGTGGGAGGGTTCAGGGGAGTAATAGGGGCTGGGGGGACAGGTTACGGGGGGGGGGGGGGGGGGGCAATGCTGTGGGGGGGTAGGCAGGAGGCAGAGGAGCCAGGGAGTAGGGGACGGGCTCACATCCGCCTGGGGTGCCACCTGTTGGCATGACAGGGTATGGCAAAAATAATTTATGGGAAATAGCTAAATAAACAGAGCAACATAATGAGAACGTAATAAACACAAAGCTTCAACCTCTCTGTTTGTCCAAAGATATCCGTTTAGATTAGGAGTGAACACAACTCCTGATCTTTTTCCATTACTTAAAGGCCAAATCCATAAGTTCTGTGTCCCCAGTGGCAACAAAACAAAGTACAAACACAATCGACCTGAAACAAAAGAAAAACAAACTAACAAAACAAGTCGTTCGATTTTCACCATTGAGTGCACCTGGTTCCTCTTCTTCATTGGTTTTGCAGTATGTGTGCACTCACAAATACCCTCCCTCACTGTCAGTCCTCCAGGGCACTTTTCTTAGTTGTTACTCTCATTATGTATTACTTGCTTATGGATTGTGCCTCTACAGTTATGATCAAATATATATGATAGATCTGTTTTGCATAAGTGCCATGAGTCTGTCAAGTGAGACTTCTACACATTATGGAGAAACAACCCCTCTGTGAGCAGGTAGTGCGATCACAAGTTAATTGTTTGTGGCAAATAGTTAAATATAACAACCAAGAGTACACAATCGTTTAATTAAATTTTTGTATTGGGTGTATCTACTGACGGCCTGTATAGTTCCGGAAAGATACATCCGTTGTTTTGTTTCTTTTATTTACTCTGCTGGCAAACACGCTGGATGCTTCAGAAGCCATTGAAGAGCTTGAACAAATCATTGACGAGAGACACCTACAAGCGCAAAGAAACATGTTGCAGGTTTCGGAGGATTAAAGTGCTGTCCCAGACAACAAACACAATCAGCAGAGCAAGCCAAAGCCAAGTTGGCCAAGCAGTATCACCGATGGCAACAAATCAGCCCCAGGCAAGAGGGCGTGCATGGGGAGAGGTTCACGGAGATGGACGTTGACTTGCTGAAATCCATCAATGACAGGCTTGCCAAACTTGATATCTACGAGAGGACATCAATGCTTACGTGCCAGTCTAGAGCATGGCGCTTGCAACGCCAGGGTTGTGGGTTCGATTCCCACGGGGGGCCAGTATAAAAAATTAAATAAAAATGTATGCACTCACTAACTGTAAGTCGCTCTGGATAAGAGCGTCTGCTAAATGACTCAAATGTAAAAAAAAATGTAGAATTCAGCTAATGTCATATTGATGATCTGAGGAAAGAGAACACAGAGCTGAAAAGTAATCAAATCAATCAAATCTACTGCCCACCTGTGTGCTGATCTGCAGTGACTGGAGAGGGGGCGTGGCCTGGGCAGGCTGCTGTAGAGGGTTAGAAGCATTGCTGCCCAGGCAGGCAGGTGATTGGGCAAGACTGGTGGTGATGTCAGAGCACTGCTGAGGTAGAGGCTGGCTGGCAGACAACTGTGTTAGGGAGAGAGAGAGAGAGAGAGAGAGAGAGAGAGAGAGAGAGAGAGGAGAGAGAGAGAGAGATGAGGGGAAGAACAGGCAGGGTGAGTAAGAATCATGACGAAGTTAATTGAACATCTATATCTGTCCTGTTCCACAAACATAATCTATTGCCTCTCATACACCCTGCCTGTCCTGTCACCAAGTCTGGTTGCCAAACAGCCGTGTCTGTCTGTCTGTCTGTCTGGAACACACACTCTCGGTCACAGGGTCTGACTGGACACACACACATAAACATACACAAGGCTCTGGACTCACACATCCACACACAGGGCTCGTGAATGTGTGAATGTACTGTACTCACAGCTGAGACCAACAAACATCACAGCCACTATCATCTCTGCTCATTGAACAGAAGTCTGGGGACAGACAGCATCTGACTGGATGGTCAGGATTTTGTCAATGAGAGTCCAACAAACTAGTGCTTCTCATAGTTACACTCACATTCACACCCAAGTGTTAGATTCAGAACAGATCCTTACCTCGTGGCTGGGCTGGGCAGTAACAGCAGGCTGTGTCTGTGTCTGTGCCTGTACAGTGGTGAGAGGGGCAGCAGCTGGGATGCTCTGTGGAGCCGTGGGGCCGTTCTGATGTACCGTAGGCCCTGGGGTGGCTGGAGCAGAGGCTGGCTGAGCCTGGGGCTGGGCCTGGATCAACCCTGCACTGGGCTGGAACACAAAGGGGGAAAAGGCTGTCTTTCAGTTTATGACAAAGATTATCAAGAACACATCATATAGAATTTTTCTTCACAGGAGCAAAGAGGGAAGAATCATTGTGAGCAGGGTTGATATTGTTGCTGGAAACTGCAGGATAAAGGTAATTGAGGAGAGGCTGCTGCAATAGTAAGGGAATCTACACAGCTGATCCATCATACCAAAGAAGAAGTAGTAATCCAGCCATGTGGTGTTTATCTGTCTGCTGAGGAGTGAACAGAAGCAGATAGAACATCACTGTTACGCTTGAGGGTAGGTGTTATGGTCGGAAAATTACAGTCACTTTCCCAAAATTCCCAGGTTTTCCAGAAATCCCAGTTGGAAGATTTTCCAGGAGGGAATAACAGAAAATCCTCCAATGAAGATTTATGGAAAACCTGGGAATTTTGGGAGTTACAGGAAATGTTGCATCCCCAGGGGTTGATTTGGGATTGGGAAGTAATGTTTCCCTTGGTCATCATGGGAGGGACAGAGAAAGCTAAGCTCGCTGGATCAGGCAGCTCGCGAGGCTAAGAGAAAGCTGAGGTGCTGCTACTAGGTGGGCTGTTGCTACGGCAATGGCTAAGAAGGGTCAAAGTTCAATCAAACCGGTAGTATCCCTGACCTACCATTGAACCATTTGATGATAGAAGCAGGGACTTTTCCAAACCCAGGCCCTGGTCAGAATGCTCAGGCAACGGAGAGGTGGGCTGGCTTTGGCCGGGCCAATAGGCACCGCTGTCTGGGGGAGTAGGGGAGCTGGTCCTACGAACCATAGCTTCTCCATAGCTTTGGCTGGGCTGGTACGGGGTGTCTAGGGGTGTTGGGGAGCTTCTCCTGCGACTGACGATGTGGCTGAGACAGTGCTTGAGCAGGGAGAGATCTCCACTGGAGGAGTGGACCAATATGGAAAGAGGTGGGGCAAGATGTGAGGTAGATGGAGGAGCCGACAGGGAGGAGGTGATTAGAGGGAGATTGAGCAGTGAGAGAAGGTGGGCTAGAGACCTCCCAGCCTCCATTCTAGTTCTTAGTAGAAGGTCAAACCTCACACAGGCCCTGCAGTAGTGGGAGTGGGGTAGAGGGAGGTCAGAGAGGCGTCGTATGGGCTTTGTAACCAGGATGGCAGGATAAGGGGGATTGACTGATTGATTGATTGAGTCATGGTAGGAACATTGATGGTGCTCGGACAGCTGAGGGGAGAGGACAGGATACAGAGGGGGACGGGAGTCTAAAGGGGCGACCTTGGCTGCTGGATGCTCCTCTGAGTTTTTGTCACCCTCTGGGCTCCGATGTGGGACTTTGTCTCGTTTGGGACAGAGGTGGCAGGGAGAACGACACAGTGGTTTAGGGAGGGAGTGGGCCCTGCACATGTCAATCAAGGAAGTGCTTCCACGTCTAGCGCACTGATTGGTCCCACCACAACACACTGTACTCTCATTGGTCCCACAACCAACCAAGGAATCTCCTGTCATCTCTGGGGAGAGAAGAGCATTCTGGAATGCAAAGGGCTCACTGAAGTGTCGCTGCTCAGGTGGCATCGACCGGACAAAAGAAAACATATTTTAGTTCAGTTTGTCTTTACAAAGACAGATAATACCGAAAACAAAACGTTAACAAGGAGCTAAAGAGACATAGAAAGGGAATGTCTGAGACTAGCAGTGAGAATACGTTTAGAATAATGAATTTAGAAATTTGAGTTTGAGGCATTGGGGAATTTTGTGTGAGAAAACGTACAGGTGGAGACTGGTAGTCCCCCTGGTGCAGCTGTGCTTTAGGTTGCTGGTAGGCCCCCTGATGAAGCTGTGTGGTAGTAGCTAAGGAGTAGGCCACTTGGGGAGGCTGTGCAGTGGGCTTCTGGTAGGCCCCCTGGTGCAGCTGGGTCTGGGGCTGCACAGGGGGGCTGTAGACCACCTGGGGTGTAGAGATGGGCTCTGGGATGGACTGGTATGGGGCACTGGGCTGACCGTTTTTAACATCTGACAGCACCATGAGGCCCGCTCCACCGTCAGCTACAGTAACAGGAAACAGAGTGGAGAAAACATTATGTCAACCTCACACAATGGAGGGAGACGGAGAGAACGAGATAGATTAAGAAAGAAACAGAGGGACAGAGAGATGAAGTGACATTCAAATTCAAAAGCTGGGAGATGACTCAGAGCTGAGTCACACCCTGCATCTCTCTCTCTCTCTATCTATTTATCTATCTATCCGTCATCTATAAACCCTGTGGAGTTTCTTTCATCTGGATTACTTTGAACAGATCGGCCTTGCCTCAAGACAAGGTGACCTGTGTGTGTGTGTATGTGTGTGTGTGTTTCAATTACTTAAAGTGTTTCTCAGTTTTCTTGTATACACATTCATCTATGTGTTGTTTGTTGTTTGTTTGTTGTTTGCCTGTGTCTCTGTCTTTGTGTTTGGAGGCTGCAGTGAGGTTCTTACATGTGGTCGAGGTGGCGTGGGCGGGCAGGCTGCAGATCAGGGTAAGGGGCTGGTCGGCTTCTGCCTCCTCTGGCTCTGCTGGGGCCAGTTGCGCCCCCTGTGGTGGTACCCCCATGCTGGGCACCTGCAGCAGGGTTGTTTAATGTACAGATTAGATCAAAAATAACACGGTAACATTGATTCAGATAGACCAGTGGTCACCAACCGGTCGATCTTCAAATTATTCCTAGTCGATCACCAAACATTTCTGTAGAAAAGCCAACGATAAACCCTTGCGCTACAATTTTCGAAAACTTGTTTTGCGCTGTTTGCTGGTAGGTGCAATTGATTCGTGCCAGGTAGGCAAAGTGTTCCCATTTTGAACCATTTCATTTGTCTGAAGGGACAAACTCTGCCTACCCGGCAGACCCAAAAAGCTAAATCAAGTGTGCTTACTGCGCTGGCCAATCGGATAGCTTAAATCACCATGCCTGCAGCTTCCTAACCCACAGCAAAGTTTGATACTAGCCTACGTGAGATTTCAGAACTTTTGAAACCATGACTAGAGAGAGACTGTCAAAGAATACAGCAAAGACCTGCTGTTTTTATGAGTGAATTCATATCAAAGTTTTTATTCAACACTTTTACAAAACATAAAACGTGCTTCTCACTTACAGTCGCGGTACAACCAGCACTACAGCTGCAATGAATGAGTAGCGAAGTGTATCGATAGGCCTGTGTTTTTATTATTAGCGGCTCGTCATGTCTATTTTTTAATCGAGGAATATTTACCTTTCTCTGGCCATAGGAACAACATGAATTTGAGGCAGAAATAATGCGGTTCGACTCAAGTTTCGCCATCAGGTGGAAGAACTGGAGAGAGCAGGGGCAGTGAGATCATGTTTTTAAAAATATCTGAGCGGTACATCTCGGCTTGCATTTTGACTTCGAAAGTGATCTTGACTCAGAAAGGTTTGGTGACCAAATAAAGGGACAACTAAAACACCAACAACAAAGACAGATATACCTGCGAACAACAATGAACGGGGTTCACAGGATGACAGAAAATACATAAGATAAGTTGGATAACATAGCAAGCACTCTATCATGTAGGAACTATCTTCCTTTATGTTAAATCAAGGATGACACAAGTTAAGTTAATTATAGTGCTTTAGGTTGGTTATCTTTGAAAGCAGCAGGTAACCATTATTAAAGTAATTACTTAATGTATTGGGTTATATATAAATATTAATATTTATAAATATATATATAAAGTACCGGTCAAAACTTTTAGAACACCTACTCATTCAAGGGTTTTTCTTTATTTTTACTATTTTCTACATTGTAGAATAATAGTGAAGACATCAAAACTATGAAATAACACATATGGAATCATGTAGTAACCAAAAAAGTGTTAAACAAATCAAAACATATTTTATATTTGAGATTCTTCAAATAGCCACCCTTTGCTTTGATGACAGCTTTGCACACTCTTGGCATTCTGTCAACCAGCTTCATGAGGTAGTCAACTGGAATGCATTTCAATTAACAGGTGTGCCTTCTTAAAAGTTGTGGAATTTGTTTCCTTCTTAATGCGTTTGAGCCAATCAGTTGTGTTGTGACAAAGTAGGAGTAGTATACAGAAGATAGCCCTATTTGGTAAAAGACCAAGTCCATTTATGGACTTTAACAGACACATCTCAACATCAACTGTTCAGAGGAGACTGTGAATCAGGCCTTCATGGTCGAATTGCTGCAAAGAAGAGACTTGTTTGGCCAAGAAACAGGAGCAATTGACATTTTTGACTGGTGGAAAGTTGTCCTTTGGTCTGGAGTCCAAATTGGAGATTTTTTGGTTCCAACCGATGTGTCTTTGTGAGACGCGGTGTGGGTGAACGGATGATCTCTGCATGTGTATTTCCCACCGTAAAGCATGGAGGAGTTATGGTGTGGGTGTGCTTTTCTGGTGACACTGTCTGTGATCTATTTAGAATTCAAGGCACTCTTAATCAGCATGGCTACCACACCATTCTGCAGCGATATGCCATCCGATCTGGTTTGGGCTTAGTGGGACTATCATTTGTTTTTCAACAGGACAATGACCCAACACACCTCCAGGCCGTGTAAGGGCTATTTTACCAAGAAGGAGAGTGATGTAGTGCTGCATCAGATGACCTGGCCTCCACAATCCACCGACCTCAACCCAATTGAGATGGTTTGGGATGAGTCGGGACCGTTAGAGTGAAGGAAAAGCAGCCAACAAGTGCTCAGCATCTTCACAAGGTTTTCACACACTGTTGCTAGTATTTTGGCCCATTCCTCCATGCAGATCTCCTCTAGAGCAGTGATGTTTTGGGGCTGTCGCTGGGCAACACGGACTTTCAACTCCCTCCAAAGATTTTCTATGGGGTTGAGATCTGGAGACTGGCTAGGCCACTCCAGGACCTTGAAATGCTTCTTACGAAGCCACTCCTTCGTTGCCCGGGCGGTGTGTTTGGGATCATTGTCATGCTGAAAGACCCAGCCACGTTTCATCTTCAATGCCCTTGCTGATGGAAGGAGGTTTTCACTCAAAATCTCACGATACATGGCCCCATTCATTCTTTCCTTTACACGGATCAGTCGTCCTGGTCCCTTTGTAGAAAAACAGCCCCAAAGCATGATGTTTCCACCCCCATGCTTCACAGTAGGTATGGTGTTCTTTGGATGCAACTCAGCATTCTTTGTCCTCCAAACACGACGAGTTGAGTTTTTACCAAAAAGTTATATTTTGGTTTCATCTGACCATATGACATTCTCCCAATCCTCTTCTGAATCATCCAAATGCACTCTAGCAAACTTCAGACGGGCCTGGACATGTACTGGCTTAAGCAGGGGGACACGTCTTGCACTGCAGGATTTGAGTCCCTGGCGGCGTAGTGTGTTACTGATGGTAGGCTTTGTTACTTTGGTCCCAGCTCTCTGCAAATCATTCACTAGGTCCCCCCGTGTGGTTCTGGGATTTTTGCTCACCGTTCTTGTGATCATTTTGACCCCACGGCGTGAGATCTTGCGTGGAGCCCCAGATCGAGGGAGATTATCAGTGGTCTTGTATGTCTTCCATTTCCTAATAATTGCTCCCACAGTTGATTTCTTCAAACCAAGCTGCTTACCTATTGCAGATTCAGTCTTCCCAGCCTGGTGCAGGTCTACAATTTTGTTTCTGGTGTCCTTTGACAGCTCTTTGGTCTTGGCCATAGTGGAGTTTGGAGTGTGACTGTTTGAGGTTGTGGACAGGTGTCTTTTATACTGATAACAAGTTCAAACAAGTGCCATTAATACAGGTAACGAGTGGAGGACAGAGGAGCCTCTTAAAGAAGAAGTTACAGGTCTGTGAGAGCCAGAAATCTTGCTTGTTTGTTAGGTGACCAAATACTTATTTTCCACCATAATTTGCAAATAATTCATAAAAATCCTACAATGTGATTTTCTGGAAAAAAAATTCTCAATTTGTCTGTCATAGTTGACGTGTACCTATGATGAAAATTACAGGCCTCTCTCATCTTTTTAAGTGGGAAAACTTGCACAATTGGTTTCTGACTAAATACTTTTTTTCCCCACTGTATGTGGGAACTCCTTCAAGACTGTTGGAAAAGCATGCCAGGTGAAGCTGGTTGAGAGAATGCCAAGAGTGTTCAAAGCTACAATGTAGAAAATAGTAAAAATAAAGAAAAACCTTTGAATCTTAACCAATCTTTTCTCAAACTAAGTTAAAATATGTACCATGGGCCTACATACCGAATGTGGTGTTATGTGGATTTATGGTACATGAGAATATGTTTTTTAAAGGTTTTCAAAAATGTCCAAGATGGAGGAAAATCTATCCTGATTGACCTTATGGGTCCTTATGAGGAAAGACACCTACATACAACGTTTATTTTACAAGCAGTGTCTAGGTCAAACGGGGCAGCAGATATGAAGGTTTAAGTGCGACTACTTGTAAAAGTGCCACGTATAAGACAATTGGTGCCATTCTTTGTTACCAAGTTACTCATGGTCTCTAGTTTCTGTGTGGCAAATTAGAAAAAAACTTTACCAATCTATGCTTGAGTTATTTGACCATGTCAAGAAAAAAATTATAATTCAGAGAATAACAAGAGCTTCGCTGTGAACCCCTAAAAGGCACAAACCTGTAGCAGGTTCTGGGTCTCAACTGCAGGGACGGTTCGCTCCCTCCTCCATTTGATGAGAGCCACTCGATCCTTGATGGACTTTCCTACGATCTTCACATCGCTGTCCAAGAAGAAGCCTGACTCTACCTATAACAGAGAGGTTATTACTAATGCTGAGTTCATAACATCTCGTAAATTCCAGCATACGACTGGGAAAAATCCACTTGAACACCCCTCCAACTGGTAATTACTAGTGGGAAACTTGTCTATCATCTCTCTCCGACTTCTCTCACATGCTTAACTCTGATGTCACATACTAAGGAAATGACACCCCAGCCACAAGCTGTTCACTCCCTTACAGTCGGGCAGATGGTATCGGAGCATGAGGTCTGATACCAACAGGCTCAGATAAACTTTATATCTACAAGACATCAGACTGCTGAACACTTGAACTAGACTGACCACCTGCACTGATTCTCCGCACCTTAGCACACATGCACTCACTCACTCACACACACACCCACACAGACACAAATGTACATTCATGCTACACACACACACACACACACATCACAACTGCTGCTACCATTATGATTGCTAAATGCCGCACAATTTAAAAACTTGCCCCCCAATCCCCTCTTCCCCAAAACATGTGTAAATATTGGACTATAAATTGTGCCTTCCTGTATTATACTTATGCTACTATTTGTATTCTTATATTTTATTATTTATTATTGTTGTTGCATTGTCAAGAAAGAACCTGCAAGTAAGCATTTCGTTGGACGGTGTATTCCATGTGTATGCCGTACATACGACTAATAAAACTTGAAACTTAAAATGGCCTTGATAACAGAATTTTTGGCAGTTAAATGCTACAAAAAAACATTATTTATAAAAAACTATTTATTAATATGTTTTTTGAACACTTGTACTTTTACTTTATGATTGATGCAGCTTGTTTGCCATT